CATATATATATACATATATATACATATATATATATACATATATATATATATGTATATATATATATACATATATATATACATACATATATATACCTGTCTCTTATACACATCTAGATGTGTATAAGAGACAGATCTACAAATAACGTAATCGATCTGGCGATAAAGGGGCTTGGTTACTTTTGATTGTTTACCATGTGTCCAGTCCTTTAGCCAACTTACGTGTGTTGTAATATGAGAGACTTTATGCTTGAAGGCAGTATTACATATAAAAAGAGAATGATTAACCACAAAATTGATCAGTTCTTTACCATTATTGTTGGCACATTTACCATGTGAGTATATCCCAACATTTTCAAGTGTCAAAGGATCACTTTTACAGTTTTTACCTATAACAGCATTAAAGTCACCTAAAATGTATAAATCATGTCTACTAGGTATGTCAATTGCTTCAATAATTTCACAGTAGAATTTTTCTGTCAAAAGGGGATTATTTTTGACACTCGCATTCGTGGGACCATAACAATTAACAATACGTGTTTTAACATCTTTACCACACGCAGTTGGAAAATTAATATCAATATAACATACATTATCACTAATTTGGTTCCACCCTATCACAAACTGTGTAAACCGTTTGTTAATAATAAAACCTAAGCCTAATCATACAAGCCAGAAGTATTTCAAGTCGGCATTTCTTAAGCTTTCCCAGCTAACAATATTACGTTTATTTTATACTGGTTTCCAAAGGGTCCACTTTCCACTGAAACGAACCTCCCACAAAGTAAGTAACGGCACGGGCCTGATATTCTAAGTTGACGATGAACCCATTCACCAAACAGAAATACCGTAAATGTTCGTATAAGCGCCCTGCGCTTATAATTTTTTTATTCTTCAGTGCGGTGCTTTCCATGCCCGTTCCTTTACCTATCTCACGTATTCCCGTAGTTCATAAGTCCTACGTCATCGTAAATAAACGTTTATAAAGAAATGATTGTGTCTTTATTTTCATGATTTTAACACTGTATACATTGTATTTAAAACCCTGTTTCTCAAGTGTTTCATTACACACATGTATTACTCTCGATTATTCGAGAGCGGCACTTATTCGAGCATTTATGGGTAAGAAAAAAAAACATAACAAAACAAAGCAGAATAGAAGTAATATACCATCATTATTATCATGATTATCATGATTATCATCCTCATCATCATTAATAATAGCATCTTCATCAATATCAGCAGCACCATCATCATTATCACATCATTTCATCATCATTATTATAATCATTCTCATCATTCTCAACACCTTCATCATCATTATCGTTATTATTATTATTACCATTACAACAGTTGCTTTTTTATAGTAATGTAATATATATATATATATATATATATATATATATATATATATGATTATAAACCTCGTCATTCTTGCACTTGCGCGTTGCGTCGAAGCACGTCGTGCATTTCATTTGTATTGTTTTTGAGACAACCATTAAATAAATTTATATGGGTAAAATGATATTGTTGTTACCAGTAATATTTTAACTTACTATTTAATGAAGCGTCTGAATTAATAACATGTATAATGAACCATTGCACTATTAAATGAATTATGAGTATTCATATTTTGAATTATACACTAGAATTGGCATTAAACTATCGGAAAGCTAAATTATAAATAACTCAAATTTTTAACTAACACCTGAACTGTAACATGTGGTAACGATAATGGTGAATCTGATCAATTTCATCAATATGTACTAACAGGGCCAACTTAACAATCAGCAACTACCGGCTAATGTGGTGGGCCATTCCCAGGTCGCAGAAGGATGCTTAGCGTAGCTTAAAAGTAGTTCTACAAACGAGCTGTACAACGATTCAGTCATTGAACTAACTGGAGAATCGATTGTTCTATTTTCCCGTTTACCTCAACAGTTGGAAACGTTAGATGGCTGCAGATCAGAATCAATTTTTAAAGGATTTTCTCTAAGATCCATGTCAATATTCGTCTCAGATAGACCCATCAAAATTGTGGACGTACTTCGCACACTTACGATCGAAACTCTTTCTCTGATTCTAGGAGATTTGACTGTTTCATGTTGGTTATGCATATACTTGGCATACTTTAGACGAATTAGTTTTCGCACTCTTGCGTTGCAAGCAAATGAGACGTAAATAAAGAGCCCCTGTAATCCATTGAAGATTATAAAGAAATACCAGAGGGGGTCTGTGTCTGTAAAAGCTGCAATGCAACCAAAAACCCAGGCGAATCCCATCACAGTCGACATTTTGATGTACACAGTTAGTCCACTTTGATTACTTGTGTTAGCTTGGCAATCTCTGTGCACATGTATAGATCGACGATTTATTCGCATTGCATAAACAGTTTTACCAAACAAAAAAAAGTTTACTAAAAGAATGAGCATCAGTGGTACCAGGAAAGCTACTAAGAAGCCGAGAGCCCTGGATATCCAGCAGCTGTAGTGAGTTCCGTATCCAAAAAAACCGAGGTTACTTAAATAAAGTATTACACATATTATAATAATACCAAGTGGTATACCCCATGCATATAAACAATAATTGCGGAGCCTGCTTTTGGGCTTTTGGTGACGTAGAGATATTTTTTTCTTACCGAAGGTCTTATAAAGATCATAAGCCATGACATTAGTCCACAGAAAACTTGATAAAAAGAAATAATGAAGGAGAATCGCAAAAGTTGTACACATTATAGCGTTGTCTGTGTTGATTCCAAAGACAAAAATCAACTGACCAGCCAATGTTGTTGAAGCTAAGCATATGATACACTGACCAGGCAAGGTACGCAATTCAGCTATTAACGAATACGTAACGATCGTCAATGTAAGTCCGGACATAGAAATACTAATACACATGAAAGCAATACATTTCTGAACGTCATTAAAATCGAAAAATATCACGTAATAAACCTCTTGAACTTTATCAAATTCGGTACAAACTTCGATTTGATCATCACCAACCTTTATATAATCACCTTTCTCATAAATAGAACCATCTTCAAGATGGACAGACCCGTCATCCGTAATCGTATATGATGTATTATTATAGTGTATACGGCGACAAGAGTCGTCCATTTTGTAAACTTGGTCACAAACAAAAACAGCATCATTTTTCTGAGAGGTATTATTGATATTTTCATTACTGTAAATATAAGACTCTGTGCAGGAATATTCGGTTTCTGAACTGTTGACGAAAACAGAAACACAGCCATCTTGTGGAATATATGTGACGTCAACTACGCGGTATACCCTGATGACTCCAGTCTGACATTCATGGAGAAAAGTATTGAATTGATTAATGTTAGAAACTTCAATATTAGGAACCACATTCTGATCAGTATTGGGCAATTCAATCTCAGTGCTGTCCACGTAGATTGTGACGTCATATATATCAACTGAGTGTGCTAAACTACTGATAATTGTTGTCAGGTTCTTTGCTATGTCAATGTATTCTCTGGCGGCTGTGGTCAAGTGTACAATTGCCTTTCCTGAAATGGTTACATTTGCTTTTGTAATCTGCAAAGTTGTAGAATTTGTCGAGAAATTTTTAAAAATCTCTCCAACAATATGAACAGTATCATTATATAAGGTAATGTTTATACGTGACATATTTAGGCTGTCTTTCAGTAACTGAAAATTGTTAAGTTCTTTAAATGTCTGGTTTAGGTTGTCAGATGTAATTTCAAATCGCACAACAATTGTCAGTCGAAATGTAATTTCAGTTACGTTAGTTTTTATTGTGTTATTTGAAATCATCGGAAAATATTCGCTGGGTCGACTATCCTCAACACATTCATCTCCAACGAGCATGTAACTTTGTCCACAGTAGATCTCTCGACATACTTCTGCATAAGGATCATAGACCTTACCATCTGGACACTCGATCACAACTGGAACAACATTACCAGAGGAATGGTCCATGATTACCACGTGATTACTATCACGTGTGTTGAAATCTGTGATAACTGAATATTTATAATCCAATTTTTCGTTAAGAAAATACCTGTATTCATCAACATTCGCTATTTCTTTGTTTCGAGAAGATGGACAATACTCACGTGATATATCAATGCCGTTGCATTCAGCACAGAAACTGTTTTTGAATATCTGAGTGGAGCCACCATTCTGATTATAAATAACCGGGTACTGGTAATTCTCAAAACAAGCTCTCGATAGTTTAGTAAAATTCTTGGTGGCATCGAGTTTTGAATGGTCGCAAGTGTCCTCCACCCTCAGACAGTATCGTGGAGGCGCGCTCTTTGTCGTAAAGAACGTCACACAATCTTTCAGATAGAGTGCCAACGCGTTTGGATCAACGGTAGCATTATCTGGTGGTACATTCTGACATCTTGCTTCTGTATTCCAAAATGTGGCAGTCGTTCTGCCATTGCACTGAGCACAGAAAACGTTCCTATACGTCAGACCATCGTCGCTCAGGACTGGTAATCGTGAGAGAAGATCCGCTTCTGTGATGTTGGAGCAACGTTTTGAAACATCTGAATTAAGCCATGAAGGCTGACATTTGTTGGTTGTCCAAAACGGTCTGTGTGGATACTCTTCAATAGTAATACATTCAAACATAGATCGAATTTTCTTATGCGATGGCTCATTCAACTGATAATCGACTTTCTCTAATTGCTGGTGCGATTCACCATGATTCACTTTATCAACTTGCGTCTGAAAGTCTTTTAGGTTTTTGCTAGAGTTTGCACATATATTCTCGTAATCGTGACAACAATCACCATAAAGACGACACAGAGGATCACAGAAGCAATTATACGATGGAAAGACATATGCTCCAACGCCCGGATCATAATACTGTCCAGAGTTCTTCTCAATGTTACATCGATTGGAACAGGATGTTACTGGCTGGCAATGAACAACCTCATTAACAACCTTCCCACCACCTGCCACATGGAACAGGATAAAGAGTGTGACGAAGTTAGCGAACATGGCTGTAAACTTGACGCAGGTTTGTAAAACATCGCAGTATACCCATACAGAGAGAACAGATATTCGCTTGCTGCAGTGTTATTCTACTGGATTAGAAGCCTTACAACCAAAGTTTAGACACAATAGTCTCGACCGAGCATATGAACGATTCTGCATGTTAACAGGTGGTGTTTGAGATTATATGCCTACAAACTTCTTTTTTTAAAACAATACACTTGTATCGATTTAGTTAAATACAATTCAAGATAATATATGATACAGTCTCAACAATGTTGCAGATATGACTTTGTTTTTATCTCTGAGTTAGCTCTTGCATGCCACCGTCTCATCTCGCTCATTGTCTTCGATAAGTTCTTGGGTTGTACTGAGTTTGCTAAATTAATTATTAACTTTAATTATCATAGCAATTATTGATAATGTATGTAATCATTAAAGATAACATAACGTACTAATTAATAGCGTTATTAAGGAACTAGAGGTTTGTCAAGTGTATCTGATTTGTGGAATGATAGTTATCATTGCCTTCAATATCAATCAACCAAAGTTTTTGTAGTAGTAGTAGTAGTAATAATAATAACAATAATAATAATAACAATAATAATAATAATAATAATAATAATAATAATAAAACAATAATTAAGATGGTGATATTTAATTAATGTTTGGCATAGCGTGCATTTACACATCATTGCCTTTAAAATATAAATAATTTATTGTTTTCATTATTACATAAATATTTATTGTACTGTTGCTTTGTCTCAATGAAACACATGACCTAAACAGGAAGTTTACTGTATAATTATAATAATATATTATTATATAATTGTTTTTAAAAGTTTAGTTTTGTTTATGTTTTCAGTCGGAATTCGCACATTACAATGAGAATTTCTACGTTTGAGAATCAAATGCATGGTCGTTCCAATCAATTCTCAGTATTACTTTTTATATTTGCCAAATAAATAAAATGAATTATTTCACTCTTAAGTGACAAGGTTCTCAATCCTTTAAGTACATTGTCATTGCAGACAGCTTATTTTAAGAGACCTGTCTAATCATTACGTAAGCTTTTGCGAGGCACTTATATTATCTTACCGTCAGCTCTTTAACTATTGACAACAATAGGCCTAAGTGTTACCACAAAAGAAGATTCAATATAGCAGAATTTATAAATAAATATTTAAATTTCAAATTAATAACGATCTCTCGGTGAGTATGTTCGCGTCTGCGTGTGAAGTGCATCGTATGTTAATTTTTTTGGCACGTACAATGGGCTCTAGTAACATAATATCTGATCAGGATGATATGTTATACTTGTTGCTACCGCCGTTTCGTCTGCGTGACCAGGGCAGCTCTAACTCGAGTAGATACTCTATGCATACGTATGATTGTACAGTATACGTATTTTTGTAAGGAGTGGAGAGTGCCTGGATCCTGGGGCCGTGTGAATAACCAGTTGCGGAAAGTGATGTGTCTTTAGCAACGATTCAGTTTGCAGTTTTACATGAGAGCAAATAATTTGATAATAATAAACTGATTATAGTTGGTTTTATATACGGTAGTTGGTTATATATAATATATTGTTGTTTGGTTCTGAAACAAAACAGCAAAAAAATTGCTCTACATCGCAAATTATAAAATTTTTATGATGTGGTACAATATCTTGGTAAACAGATCTCCTACCCAGCAGATCAATACTTTAAAAATAAGAATGTGTAATGGCAAATTTATACGAAACATATAAGTTATTTTCATTTCCAATATATTTAATGTTACAAATCATTAATTGGCGACGAAATGTTTTTCTAATTTTAGTCGAAAGTGCTTACGTTTTTCGAATATATTAAAGAATACTGCTATGTAAAATATAATAAGCTTTAAAAAAAATATGAATTTCTTACTGCGTGTACCTCAGTTACTGTGAACTAAAATTTGAACACGAAATATGATTTTCTGACCAATTAACTGAATTTTCCTAGTTATGTGTCTCTATAAATCAATAATAAATGATAGCCATATACATCAGCTATGGTTTATTGAAAGTTGACTAATTTAATTTTTTAATTTTAATTTTTTTTTTTTATCTATATTTTTTTTACAAGAATTATTTAAAAATAATTCATGTAAATGCAAGTTTTGTGATTAATGAAATCTAAGTAAATGGCAATATTCGACTGGTCGTTCTTCGTTAAACCACGCCCACCTGCGCAGTTGTACAATCCTACTTAACAAAGACGACCAGTCAAATATAAAACTTGTAAATACTCGACAAAACAAAATGGCTGTATAGTTACCGCGACACATGCTGTGTAATCAAGATTGCTTCTTGTGGCAGTATGGGTTTTTCATAAAAAAGAAAACATTTTCATCCAGTTTTTGAATTCTGTTAAATTATGTTTTGACTTCGTGTGGATAAATATTATAATTTTTATTTTCTGAAATTTAATCAAAATTATATTAATGCAAATGTTGTTGATAAACTGACCAATCAGCCATGTTTGTTTTGGCCACGTGAATAACTTAACGCTGATTAACGCACTCTGGTTTACGTTAATTTTCTTTGTCATTTTACGAACCCATCGAATGAAAATAACACTCAATGAAAATTCGTAGTCAACGAACTGAACCAGTTGAACACGCCCAATGATAATTTTCTGCAGTAATGTTATATCTTTTTCATCAACAAAACTTTATTCAAAATCCTGTTTACAAAACAATGCTATGAATATATAAATATAATAATTAGTACTATACCTCAAAATAATAAATATGTTATCTTGTGTAAAGTGCTATATGATGACACTTTATAATATTGAAAACACACTGGTCTACAGTGATAGCTGTTGCCAGGAAACAAAGCACCATACTTCACCGATCGAATCTGCCCTTGGGTGGGTACTCATCTTCTAAGAAGATGAAATACCCACGAGTGTGCAAGTAAGCTGCAAAGGTGTGAAATAGCCCTACTTGTCATTTTTATATTCAAATTCAAATTTAAATGATATTTATACAATGAAAACATTATAACCTACTGGGAAAGTCATATAATTGCAATGTAGTGGTATCAATCAAATATGTTCACATTATGCAAACATATATTTATACATTATGAAATATCACCAGAAAGTAAAATTGACATCTCATTAAATAATTGTTTTATAAGCATTGAATTTAAGATGCTTACACATTATACCAAAAATAAATACATCCTACAAAATATGTAGTACCATGCAGGTACAAAACAAAACTTGTATCCCTATGGTAACACCATACATACTGTAGCTACTGGTAGTTAAATATAGACCAATCCACAACTACATGCAAATATTGCATTTAAATGCACAATCAATTATGTGTGAAATGTATATGTAATATGTGTACAATTAAAATTGAAATTATTTTGACCACCACAACAATTTAGAGTTACATCAAGGACTTATGTGTACACATATAAATCCTTGATTACATCAACTAGATGTTTACAGTTATAATTTACCATGAAGGAAAATTTGTTTCGCTCTGTGTGCACACTTGTCGGACCAAATGCCAGTCTGCCGAATATTGGTGGCAGTCTGAGAAAAAAAATGATCCAACACAAGATCAGTCGTCTGAAATCGTGTCAGCTGCTCATGGCAAGGCAGTGTGCCTTGTAAATTTAGATCCAATAACTGTGAGGAAACCAAGCATCAAACGATTGATTTTCTCATACTATGGCGAGACTTTTTTAATACCTTGTTTAGTGAACTTATTTCGCCCTCATCTGACTGAAGATCGTCAGGAGGATGTATAAAAAGGAAAAAACTCTAAAATTTCCATTTTTCGTTGTGCTAACTGGCTAAAAATGAAATTTAATTATTTAAAAAAATCATCATTATTGGTATCAAAAAAAATCTCGCCTAAAGGATTATTATAAGCTATTATAAACTTTCAATGGCAGATAAAAACAAATTCAATTCCTTTAATAAATCAACAGCCAATTAAAAGCCCTACACAGACCAAATTTGAACATGTGACATGCCTAGCCATGATGACATCACATCATGACTATATATAGGCACATCAAGTATCTGGTAATTTGTTAAATATTTGCCCATTCTAATTTAAATATTGTAAATATACAAAGCAATTCAAACAGTGAAATAGATTGTTAATGTTTATATGCTCAATACAGTGTATCTTTAACTGCTTTGAGTTTGGTGTTGTGCTGCCTGTGATTTACCCATATATGAGCATGATGATGGAATATAATACCCATATATGGGAATACCATAAAACCTCGAATTGAAGCCCTGTGAACTTTGGATGGGCTTCTTTTCGAGACTACTTTTGTAAAGTAAAGAGGGGGATTCTTTCAAAATGAATGCTGTAAATTCTGAGAATTTGTACTATAAAACCATAAATAAGGCTACTGGAACATCAATCTGTATCATGGAGTGTATTTAACTGGCATTAAATCACCTAAACTACTGTACTGTATAAACCAAGCTTGTATTTAATTTATTTTGTTTTCTGAAATTCATGTACAGTGTATGTACTGTACAATCTCGAAAAGAAGCCTATGCTATCTTGAAAAGAAACTCATGGGCTTCTTTTCTAAGCTAATTTTGCATACTAAAGAGGGGGCTTCAATTCGAGATGGGCTTCATCTCGAGATTAAGCCCGGTGGGCTTCAATTAAAGGTTTTACGGTATAATTATCACATAAAACTTGATATTAAAATATAAACATAAAAGGACAATTTATAAGAACTATATGATTTTAGGGATAGCAAACAGGGCTTAGGGAACAGACAGTAAATTATTTAGTTATAAAATGCTTCAACCATAGATGGCACAGTAAAATGACATCAGGAATTCTGAACATCAGCCTGAGATTTGATATGTAATAAATGGAAGACTACCTATCTCTCACTTCAATTTCGGAAATATAAATGATAATAATATAAAATAATAATACTAATAACAATAATTATATCAATGATTAGTCATAGCAATAAGTAGATTTAAAGCACACTCAATACCATTGTTTTGTGGTATTAGCAAGAGACCATGTTACTGGACCGCAATAGGTTCCCATTTTCCCAACAGCAACATGATTTACAGCAATTATTAAAAAATATTTGGCTTGTAATTTTTTTTTTTTGTAAATGTTGCAGTTGCAATTGGAATGTTTGTGGTAGAATGTAACATGGATTACACAACCAGAAAACTGGCTTCATCTTTTCCTAATGAGGAATATTAAAAAAAATTTGCATCTAAAAATATAACATTTCTATGTATACTGTATTTAAAATTCATATCTGAAAAAAAACATCTACTGCCCTCTAGAGGTGATAATTCTGTATCCTCTGGTGAAATTGCTAGTACAGCAGAATGAGTTACTGATTGTATTTTACACTTGATATGTACACTAAAAAAAACTTATTTGGTTGTAGATCACAGTTTGTACTGCCCATTAGATATCAATCTTCAATTGATAGCACCTAATAAAACATGCAGTAAAAATTTATTTTAATAAATAGTTTTTAAATAATTAAGACAAGGAGGAACATTGAGACCCGCTCAATTTCTGCACTGATCAACTGACTCGCTCTCTTGTGCAACAGCATAAAAATATTGTTTTGGAATGTCAACTACATCATGCTGTCAGAAAATTATGAAAAGTGCATAGAGTGAACAGACATACATAGAAGTTACAGTCTTGCATATTAAGTTGCTTTTTCATGATTTCTTTTACATCCCCACTGTGTTAAAAGATCCAAGAGTAACTTTTGATCAAAAAGGTGAACATTTCCAATTTATCTGTTTTGAAGATGAATAGTATTGATAATTGTGTGGAATTAGTGTGATCATTGATTTCTCCAGATTCTAGGACTTAATGTGTAGTTTATACTCTCCTGATGAACAGTCTGAATTAGGTGGACAGTGCTGCATAACTGGTCAACAGATATTGCAGTTCTCATGAAATCAAATAGCGGTCTTTCAAAATCAAGTTCAATAAGATCAACTTCTCTTACTCTTCTGCTAAAGATCTGAAATCCGTCAGACTCATGTATTCGGGGTCTTCAGATTTTGTGTCATCATCAGACGAGTCAAATCCTGGATTGTTCCTTGCCTTTACCAACAGGCACGGCAACTGATCCTGATGAATGGAGTAGTGATGGATGAGACGAGGAAGATCCTCAAAGTCTTTGCCAAATCCCTGAAATAAACATAGAAGGGCTAATAAATTAATTAGTTCTTATAGTAACTTTAAATCATTACACATCAGAAATACATTACATATAATTTGTGTAATACAGGTAAAGGCAAGACTTGTTTTATACCTTGTATACTGCCACCTGCCAATAATGATTTTGAATAAAAATAAAATTTCATTTATGGCCAATTAGCGCACTCGCCGCCACAAAAAATAGAAATTTCAGGAAAAAAAACTTTTCTTTCATTTTATTATGCTACCGCTGCCTTGAAATCTCCAAAAATTATATACATATATTTCTTCCTAATTATATCAATTCAAAGCATTTGACCATCACATTACTACACTGTTTACATTCACCAATAATTTTTTTTTAAATTTTCTCCTCCATCTGGATGTTTTTGGTAAAACTATTTGCTAAATAAGAAAACAAAATTAAAATTTTCTGCCTCTGACAATCTTAATCTGACAAAAGTAAGTTCAAGAAACAATGTATAAAAAAGTCTTGCCTCATAAAAGATGACAAAAAACAAACAAAATTGTAAAGCACCTGTTATAATTTGAATTATACTGAGCAATATGAAATTTGAAATAGAGGGGGGTCCAGAAAGGTACTTTCCCAGAAGGGGGGGGGGGTGTAGACTACCTCTGACCCACCATGGTTGGGGCTGAGGCAAGAAAATTTATGATAAAGGCACCCCTAGATGGCAGGAAATGGCACTCTCAGACTTAATTTGGAATATAATTTTCCTTTTTTCTCGATATTTGTAATAATTTTGAAAAATTTAGGGACCCGGGGCCACCCCCCCCCCCAACCACCTTGAATCTGCCACTGTGAAAGATAAGTTTATGTATAACAGGTACTTTATAGATATCTTTGACAAATTTGTTAATTTTCAGTTGTTAATACGATTAAGTATAATAATTGTATTGTACTATTTTAAAAATTTTTGAAAAGATTATGCACAACACACTTATTTTACACAAAAGCATTATACTGGTTGTTTTGATTCTGTTTCCTCTTTCCTGTGGTGACCTTTAGCCAAACACTTTGTATTACTTGACCCAATATAATTTTATATACCTGTATATAGTGTGATAATCATAGTGAGACATAGCTGGGGCTTTACCTTGATAGTGTGTCCACCATTCTTTGTCTTGACGATTAAATAGTTAGCTAGGCCGCTCTTATTAAATGTTGTCTGCACTCTGATTGACAGAGCAAAGCAGCCTGGGTGACTTTTGCTTTCACGCACCATGAATGCACCAATGCTTTCTTGAGATAATATTTCCACAGCAATTTCCCTGTTGGAGGTAAATAGGTATACAGTGTAGTTAGGTAACACTAACAAATATGTATTTAATAAAAAAAAAAATAAAAAAATAAAACTTACACACAATTCCAGAACAAGTTACCAAGATCAAGATGATGATGATGATGATAATGATGTTGATGATTATGATGATTGTAATGATGATGGTGATATTGATAAATAATATTTAATGCATCACTTACTTTGGAATTCCAGTCCTAAACCAAGGAGCTTTCCTCAAGTCTACAGCAAATTTGCTTTTAATATTTGAAGGTGGATGTGTTCTGTAATTCAAAATCACAATGGACAGTTAAACCAATTTTCATTTTCAGAGATATGAGGTTTAGGGTTCTGGATCTTCACTAAGATCAGGGACGGACCTGTAACCAGAAGCAGTGGAAGTTTTTATTGATTGGTACAGCGTGAGATTCTTCAATAACCTCAGCCGCACCGTGGTTGGGGGTGAGGTAAGAAAATTTGGTAAAATTTACACATCTAGATGCTTGGAAATAGCACTCAAGTTCTTAATTTCTTTTAGTAGTAGTAGGAATAAGGTAAAATACAATTAAATCTAGGATTACATAAACAAACAGGCCTATATTTTAAAACAATCATGTCAAAATACTGGAAGGGTGGCCATCGTATCTGCCTTACTGGTTCCACCACCCCTAGTAACAGCAGCTGGATGACTTTAGTCAATTTCGTACTGCTTGGAGGAACTATGTTAAAGGTTTCAACCACCATACAGTACTTATTTATTTTCTACCAGGCATTTTAATATGAGAAATAGAAAATTTTAAACTGCTTTATTGTGAGATAAAAATAATTTCTTTACAAATTTATTGATAAATTTCATAGAATTATTATAATAAAAAAAAAAAATTGTCAACATTATTTGAATCAAAGTGTTACCTTGGAGGCCTAGGTGGTATAACAGCTGTTTTTTGCTCTTCTTTATATTTTCCCACTTCAACCTCCACTTTGTGACCTATGTGACCTGGTGCTCTGACTGGCTTCTTGTTTGTTAAAGTTGAAGGCCGAACTCTTTGGTTTTCACTAACTCCTTGACCTGAGGTCGTACTTGAGGTTGTACTTGAGGTCGTACTAGTACTACTTGACATAGAGTCCGATTTGATAAATTTAGTTCTAGGTGCAGGAATTGGTTTTATCCGGTGTGCATTCCTTCGGTTTGTCATTTGTCCATTAACATTCTCAGCTTTTGGACGGCATGATGAAGTCTCAGTTGAGGATGTGTTCTTTGGCGGCCTCGGGGGAGGTGGAGCTGGCGCTTTCCGCCTGGGTGCTGGCTTAGGGTTTTTAAATGCCTTAACTGTTGTGCTTGGTTTATCTGACTCTCCTGTTTTGAAAGCAGGTTTAAAGTTTCCATTTTGGTCTGAATTATGTTGGAACTGACCAATCAGATTTCCTACAGAACATGTTTTATTTTCACCATCTTCACTTTCATCTGAAGATCTTGACAAAAAGTCTATCTGACCTCTAACTCTAGGGTCATGCTCTCTCTTTGGTGAAGTTTGTTCCTTTGATGCCCTTTGACATTTTGTTTCCGATCCATAAGATCCTTGTTCATTTTCAAATTCTGGCGATTCAGATCTATTGTATCGTAATGTATCGTCCAATGAGCATTCGCGCTCTAACATATCGCGATATACATCGCGTGACAGTCTATTAAACCTGCCCGGGGAGCCGTGCAGAAATGCACGTGCAACACGCATTAATTCCTCATAGTCCTCATCGCGATCAACATCTTCCTCATCGAGTGTAAATGCATCATTTTGTTCACCACACTGATCCTCCATTTCATCAGAACTTTCTCCATATGCAAACATTGGAGGAGCGGAAGCATCCTGTAAAAGGATCTTCCCAGATTTTTTCTGTAGCCTTTCATCTTGCAGATCAGTCTCCCCAAGATTTCTTGGGGATTGTTCATCCTGCAGCAAAATCTGACAGCCGGAATTCATGGCTTCTGGAGCAACAGTCAGTGGATTATTAGAAGCTACTGAGCCATACAAACTCCACTCATTCTTTACATCCACCTCGTAGTATGGTGCTGGAGGTAGTGGCCGCACACGATTTGTTTGTCGAGAAACCTGAGTGGAAATGACAATCCAATAATAATTTATGTAACATCTATATATAAAAAAAATGCAACATTATAACATCAAGGGCAATATTTTCACTTTTTTCTTGGCTTTACCAATAAAATTTTATTGACGCTTTGGTAATATATCATCAAGAAAATTGTAACAATATATTTTCACTAAATTTCAGCGGGTACCTGATGCAAGCTAGTAAATAATAATTTCCAAATGCAATGTTAAAACAAGGATTTCCTTATATGGGAAAAACTTTGTACAGTAAGTTGATTGGATATTTTTTATGATGTTGCAATAACCAATGAGAATCCTTCTGATAATTGGAGACTACGGAATGTAGTACAAAAAGTAAAGAAAACCATTAAACCTATAAGCTGCTTTTAGCTAATATTTAGCTAATATTTTGGGTTGTTTTGGGGATAATGTATCATAAATTCTAAAATATGGTCATACCATTTCTTGTTGAAGATCACAAGGTTCAACAGGAGGAGCAGTAGGAGCCACGTCTTTACTATCAGGCTCTAAACAAGTTGGCAGAGAACTTGACTGCTGATTGGTTGATAATGATATAGCTCTCTCCTGATTGGTTGGAAGTGACTGGGTAAATTGGGATTCTGTAAAGGTGTCAGGAGTGGTAGAATCTAGGTGAGGAAAGAGTGAAACTTCTGAATCATTTCCCCAGCTGAGAAGCTGTACGTTGTCAGGTAAATTGATAAATACTGATGAATTGTCTGGTACTTTTGAAGTCTCAGCTTTCTTTGGCTTTTTCTGAAATAAAAAGATTCAAAATTCCACTTAGGTATTTTATGTTTTCTTGCTTAAATTCTTCTAGCTATCTTTGAAGGTATATAACTGTCATAACAGTGATAAGAGAATGAGGATGTAACACTTATTTTTTGGCACCATAGTAAAGCTGATCATGTTAAACACTGGAAGCTTTATAAACGAATCTATGCTGGTCTTGGCAAGTGTAGGGCTGATCATGACCAAATCTATTTTGAGGATTAGGGAAATGGAGTTGTTTTAAGTAACAAAATAGGATTGAACCTATGAAATTGAACTATGACCTTAAATTATAACCACTCAACTTATGTTCGTAAAATTGTCATAACTCATAATCACATCATAGTTGTTAGGTGATGTATTGATCAGCTGCTGAGATTTGAATATAACCATCAATAACTGGCTATCATTGTCCATTTGTACACCTGCGATAATATGTTATGAAGTGTAAAGTGCTTTCAGTAATAAATGTCAAGTCCATTTTCCTAGTCTAGTAAGTGAACAATTTACAGTAACCAAGGACATTATAGAGTTTTATAATGAACCAGATATTATAAATATCGCTTGCAGTATTTTCAGACATAATAGGTTTGACTTCGAAAAAACATCGTAAAAACATCTTGGGTATTAATGATACAATATATAGGAGGTGAAAAGTTTGTAAAAGCGACCGACTTTCTGCTGCTATCAAGATAAAAATGGGCAGGACATATTTGAAGAGGGGATAGTTTGATGAAGGGTGTGCCTACTTTGAAATCACAGGGAAGAGGTTGTGGAAGGCCGAAAGTGGCCAAAACTAGTGTCACAAAATCAGAAAAAGTCTTAGAATAATTTTATTGTAAAACAAAAAAAGAAAGAAAACAAAAAAAAGGGTACAAACATTATTATATCTTGTTCAGATATAACGCAGTGATAGTCAATGAGTGATATGTAAAAAGCATTTATTTATATAATTTTTATGATTTTTATATAAAATTTTATTTCATGCTTTTATTATATTCAACTATTTTATAGAAATGAGTATGTTATTATCCAAAGATACGCTTTAACAAAAAGAATGTAAGCTTTAAAAAAAATGTGTAAGTACATAAAAATGAAAATCCAGAAAAATGGTCTTGATTGTATGAAAATGAATAAAGGTGGTGGTGGTTACCCCACAAAAGAGAAAAAAAAAAATCAGAAAAAGTCGATGAGAATTTATTGAGGTTTGTGTATCTGTACAATGGATGCTGAGGGATTGACTGATTGATAGGTGTTTATTTCTTTTTTGAATGAAAAAAACTCAAAAGACAAAAGAAAAATAATCTATTATGGATAGACATGAATATGGTTTGAATGATTTCTTTCATATCAGTATCAACAGGGCTTCTATTCAGAACCTACAGATGTTTAAAACTTGGTCATTACCTCAGCCATCTGCCTTCAAGGATATAAATATAACCCAATTTATATACTTTTATAAATTATAAACAGTTTAATTACAAATAGCCTGGATAGTAATAATTTAAATACATGTGGTTCTACAACGCATGTATGAACGAACGATGTTACCTAGCAGCCTCCGAAGGCCTACGAATAAAACCATGTGTTTAGTGTTTTTATTCATCACTTTACGATGTCATAATTAAGTGTTGAAATAAAACCATGTGTCTAGTGTATTAATTCATCACTTTCTTTTATTTAACAAAAGAAAATGAAAATATTGTAAGATTACCTATAAGACAAAGGTATAACTTGGGAATTCCCCTTCATACCTATTCTAAACAATAGAGCTGTGGTGTTGTCTGGGCCTGTTGAGACAAACTAAACCCATGTGCACTGGGCGAGCCAACCAATTAACGTTCGTGTACATGAAACAGCAAAACCATGTGCACTGCACTGGGCGAGCCAACCAATTAGCGTTCGTGTACGAAAATATGCCCACCCAGCTTCGTGTAGAAAATTATAGACCAGACAAGTTTTCCATGGTTTGCCACACAAAGCTAAGGAGGAAAGCAATTATTTTGAGCACCATCGGTAGTTGTTCATCTCACTCAGTTCACTTGGTTTTAGATTATAACAACCCGGTATTAAACTCAATCAACGTTACTGTTTAATGAAAATATGTTGCATTATGGTTTGTTTATTGTTATAGTAATATTGTTATAGTCTTTTTACTTATGGTTGCTCTGAAAAGGGCCGTTTGTTTTGAATATTTTCGGGGTTTTTGATGACGTCATCGTCGATACGAGGCGTACGTAAAACCGAGGGTTCGTATAACTGGGGTACGTAAAAACGAGTTTCTACTGTATGTGGCAAAGACAAGCCAAACCAGTCACTCGTCGCAAATCGTGTTTCAGAGAAAATGGTCAAAACATGCTGAAATATAAAATTTTTTAAATTCTATTTTATTGCACTAAGCTAACCTTTATATATCTATACATCATGCTATGCTGTTATTTTCCCCATTTTCAATGCTAAAACAACACTTTTTAAGGATTTGATGATAGTTTCTGCATGAGTAATGCCCGAAATCATAAACTTTGAAGGCTGATTTCTCATATATTGTTCATTAAACAACTGTATGTTTAAACTCCTGTAACTACTGTACATAATGAAATATCTGATATAAATGATTCTTTCACCATTTTATAGATATTATTTTACTCTTTAACCCTGTATTAATAACTCAAAATCGATTTTTACTACGAGTGACTGGTTTGGCTTGTCTTTGCCACATATACCTTCCTTACTTTCTACATTTAAGTAAGTAATTAATTCATGGCCCCGAAACCTAGACTCAGAAATACTAGGTTGGTGTCCAGCTGGGGATAGTATTCCACCATAGCTTTTACTATATATTGTATTGTATTGTATTGTATTGCATTTTATATTGTATTGTTTAAAGTCTGCAAATCAACTTTTCAATCTGTGTTTTATTTAAAAGTTTATATTATTTTATTCTTTTCATACACCTGTAAAGCCATTATTTTACTGTAATTGTACTTTAACAGAAAATACAGTCTTTCATATTGTTTGATTATTGTATATAATCACAGACAAATAGAAAGACAGTTTTTGTATAAATACACATTTGAATTTACAATTTATAACTTCCTTAACTCACAATTTGAATTTCCGGTTCTTTACCAAATCCCCTTACTGCATCTGGAGCCAGCAATGGTTGCTTCTTCAAAAAATCTTCAGGTTTTGTTGTAGTATTTATCCTCATACGTTCTTTGACCTTCTCATAAAAAGCTTGTTCTTCTTTGTTTAATCCATCGACCAATTCAAAAAACTCCTTCTTGGTTGATAATGTAGCATATGCAACTTTGAACGCTTTTCCCAGCACTGCGTTTAACTCTTCTGCCTGGAGAGAAGAAATTAAAGCAAATTTATTTTTACACTAATTGCAGCAAGAGGCTTTCAAATCAAAACTAAATTTATTAATCATTTCTGAAACTACTGCATATTCATTATGGCTTAATCACTACCACAAAAGAAATATAAATCAAATGTCAATATAATTTTATTGGATTACAGAATGGAGCATGTTATATCAACCATCACAAAATATAGAAAAATAAAACTGCACTAGCAAACGTTCTATTGATGACCTATTAACATTACTACACACTACTGTATATTACAGAAGAAAGCATATTACATATTTTTAACTGTAGTGAAATATTATTTTATATACCAGAAACTTGGTAGACCTGCTATAACATTTTAGTCTAGTAATTTATGAAATTGTATTGAATATTAGTAAAGTTATTCAGGACTTTATTTGGTAATATTGTACGTTGGAGAATATCTTCACATAAATAGATTAGATTAGGAACTTGTCTGTCACTAAGATGGCTTTCTTCAATTAGGCTTTAATCAATACAACATGTTTGAGGTGGTTATTGATATCTTGATATTTGACATTGCTACAGTCTGGTGATATAGAAAGCAACACCTGAAAGTGTAAGATACTGTAAAATACACTACAGTATATCCGTATTGTTGTCTTTAGATTTCTTATTTATGGAAAGGACGAAATATAGAAATAAGGAAATAAATTATAATTACAAAATTAATACTGTAATTATAAAATATTAGCATAAAACAACTTCTTAAATTCTTAATAACACTTCAAAAAACATGTAACATTAGTCCAAATTTGTGATTTGTTTATAAGTTACATAAAGATTAATATATGTACGGAATAAATTTCATACACAGCATAAAAATGTTTCTATGTCTGCACTAATATACATTTAAACAACTTACAAATATGGCAGTTCTAAACAAATAAACAATAGTTTTGTAACCATAGTAACTGTAAACAATTTCAGAATTGTACACAGAAAAGGTGATAAAAAATATTACATTTGTTTCAACAAAAAAACATACAATATTGTAATAAAGTCCTCATGAATTTATTTTTTTTGTAACTCACAGAACACGTTCGTTGATTTGGTAATAGCTTTTAATTTTCCTTTTGTAGAACTTTTTCTTCCTATTTTTTGAATCAAATGTATCATCAGGGTATCACTGACACATCCACTACACCATTATGAAATTGATTTCAGAGCAGACTATCACTTAGGCCATATCATCCATGAAATATATAATACAGTACAGTGTTCTAGGTCACAAAAACAGTATTGTCCCTGGCACAAGAAGTTTAAGTATGAGCCAGGAAGGAAATAGGAAGAGCCTTTACTGTACTATACCACTCTAAGATGTTTGCCAGGTTATCCAACCATTTGTTTAACCCACTTTTTTCATATCCAGGAAAATTACAAATCAATAATCAACAGTGATCCTATTAAATAGCAAACAGTCCCTACTTAAGGCTCATCGGTAATGACTAACATGTAAGGAGTTGAGTCACAACTAAAAAGTCATGTTTGCTAAAAGTAACAGAGGTTTCAGCTATAGTCAACATGGTATGATGCATTTCTGAATCTTAAGATGGCTATTTGAGTGACCAAGTGGTAAGGCAAGGTCGCTGCTGTACAGCTTTAACACTGGCACTATTTCTAGTCGAGAACCTATTTATCAAAGTTAGTTTAACTGGTAGTCTAAAGTCTTCTCGGAAAATGACCGGAGGTCCAGAAGACACGTCTGGCTTGTCTACACTAAAAATCCATTGTACCTTTCAGATGAGGAGGGCTTTACCATGATGCTCCGATTCATACTGTCGTAGAATAATGTGAACATTAAGCTGGGGCCTTGGCCCTCTCTACACATTCTTGACCACACAGATACACAATTAGCACAATGGATCTGCAAGTTATGGGTGATACATTTTACATTTTAAGTAAGAATACTTCATACTGACAGATATTGCCGACAGCTTTTGGTGATAATTGGTTGGTCGAATCGGGGAGCCTTCCCGAATGCAACTGAAAACACGGTAGCGACAGTGTAGCGATTTTAAGGAAACCAAGCTCAAAGACAACATTAAAATGAAGTTGTAATTAGTTATCACCTGTCTAAAAGGAGACAATTGTGACTCATTTCTGAATCTTGGTGTCAAAGATCTCATAAGAAGCTCAAATTCAATTATTACTACTGTCTACATTATAATAGCAAAATCATTGTTATCCAGAGTGAAACAATGCAAGTTTAAATACAAATACTCAGATATAACAGCTGTGTTTATATCATAAAAGTGTCAGTTATTCTAAAGTAAATATTATATAAACATAACAATGAATGATACTAATCTTGTGACTGGATGCAGACTCAATAGTAACTCATTTCAAAATCTTTAAAGGCGAAGGTTTGATTAAAGAGGCGTCATACTTAACAAAATCATTGTTATGCCGAGTGCTACAATTCAAGTTGAAATATGGAAAAACTCAGACAGAACAGCTGTGCTTCACAACGTCAACAAGATGTAATGGCTCCACACTGATACATATCATATCATTATTGGTGTGTACTTAATACAATAACTTATCATACTGATAACAAAAAATATTGAATTCATCAAATTTTACAAGTCTGTTATACTGTAGGAGGTGATTCACCAGATTAAATAAACTTACTACAAAGTGATGGATAATGTAGTCTTGAAATAGTTGTTCAATAATTTTTTTTATATGGCTGATTTTAACTCTGGACATTCTTCACACTCCTGATAGGGCAAAGTGGTAAATATTTAAAAATTCTGGGCTAATTGGCCAATAAAATTTAATGAGATTGCCTATTAACCACTTAAAGATGTATTGTCCCTTGCTAATGTCAAAAAATCATAAAAAATAATTTTGAAATAAACTTGCTCATATTGCAATAGCATACAAATTATTAATTTGTGCATACAAATTATTGAATTTAAAAAATGTGTTCCCTGATTTTTAAACAATAAATTTATAATAAAAATAATAAAACACTTCCAGTGACTGGAAGTGTTTCTATCATTTTTCGCTGTAAACTGATGGGTAGACATTTTTAAAATATACTAATTTCTACGTTCAAGTTGATAACATTTATGCTACTTCAAAATGGGAAAGTTAATTTCAAAAAATATTTTTATGATTTTTTTGGTATTTAGCAAGGGACAATACATCTTTATTTATCTCTGTTTTTTGATTATACATTAATATTGAATACTTTGATAATGCTATGACTAACAAAGCACACATAGACATTATTAAAGTACCATCTTATGAAAGAAGAAGTTTCTTTATTAGTCACTAAAGTTTACCATACCATACCAGCATTGTATTGGTGGTTGAAGTTTCAATGAAGAACATATTTTTCTTTGCAGAGGTTTATTTAGTCTTGTAAATCAAGTTCAAAAGCAAACTTTTCTATTGTATAAATTTAAAATAGTTTTGTTTATTTTGTGTAGAAATAAATTTATATTCAGTGCATAGCACATTCACAAAATATTTACCACACTGGTGCTGTATTGATGGTTTAAGCACAGTTTACTCTAAACGAAGAATTGTTTTGCATTGTTTATTTAATCTGGAGAATCAATTTCGAAAGTAAACTTTTTACTGTATGGATTGAATATCGTTTTTGTTTATTGTGTGTTTAAAGTCCTGCATGGAGTGCACAATACTGTAGCTACACAGTGCTATTATGAGGTTATAATATGGAGCCATCTAATTCTTGTTGACGATGATTTGCACAGCTGTTCTGTCTGAGTATGCATAATTAAACCCCAACGTTGCACTTGGCATTATTGTTAGTTTATTTCATTTCTATCTTGAATTTTGTATACATCCCAAGTAGATTTTATAACATTTTCCCAGTCTGTATTAAGTGGTGATTTTTACCATAGTTGGTTTAGCAAAAAACAAAACAAATTTTAACAATGATTTTTCCAAATAAGATATATGGTAAATCAATATGACCATATGTTTAAGGGTTGGAATGGTTGATACAGCATTTGCATCCAGGCTTTCTATCTAGAGGTTGTGTGCTTGAACCTCTCGTTGTATGTTTCATTTCTGTCCAAGTTACCTATGTTTGTCTCTACAGTACAATGGATATGGGATGATTATTATTACCATTTTCCATTAAAAATATCTAATTTGGAAATCACAGGTTCACTGATGACGAGACAGAATGACGGTCACCTGACTTGAGGATTAAAGCGATCAATAGACAAGCTTATCATGCTTGCTTTTTTCCAGGTACTTTCCACTTCAAATTAAGACCATATTTAAAGCAAGCCAAAATATATTAACATAGAAAATTAATCAATTATATGGCCAAATATATATATAAAAAAAAACCTGGCATGTTCTCATATGAGTGATTTTCTAGAAGATTAGCCCGCTTTGTTGTTAATTTTTTTAAACGTTAGTATCTGGTGTAGCTTTGTATATAATGATATGAATGTATTACATGTAAAGACTGCCACAATAAACCTTTGCGAATTATCCAACTTATTATTTAAAGATTATCAAATTCAAAAACTGTAATACAGAATGAAAAAAATAAAAACAAGTTTTCAAATTACATTTTACTACAGAAATCCTTAAAATTTACACCACGATATACATACGTTTACCAGTAGGATTTGTATTTAATTGCACGTTAATTGCTGAGGACAATTTTTCCTTGTATTTTTTTCCTTGTATGATATTTCAGTTAGATTATTCTGTAAAACACAGGTGGGCGAAGTGTGGCCCGCAGGCCACATGCATTACGACAGTAATTTTTCTGCTGCTCACAAAAATGAATAAAAAAGCCTATGTGTTCGGCCTGCCGAACATCTTTGGACAGAAAACACTTGGTTTTTTTATGGCTAACAAGAATCATCTGTAAAAAGTAATATTAATACTGAGAATAAAGTGGTATAAAAGCAGTGCAAGGTTTTTGGAAGCATACTGAAAACATCAAAGTTTGGTTGCAACTGATTTATAATTTTCTTTTAATTCAATTTATTTTTGATAAATAAATGCAACTTTTACAGTTTTTTTTATTAAAGGAGCCAACAGTCATGTATGAGGAATCTATCTTGTTTAAGGTCGATCAAGTATACATTTATATTTATTCTGACTTATTTGCATATTTGTTTTATCTTTATAAGCTTTGTCCTTGACATTAATATCAATATAGGCTAAAGGCTTATGGATGTAATATAAAAGTGCCTTCAATATTGACATGCTTATTCCCATACCAATTATTATTATTAATAACAATATTTTACTATACCATTACTATAATACTACTATTACTATTTCATTATTACTAACTACAATTCAGTATTAATATCGATTTAACAATATGTATTTATCTCCTGATTTCAATAAAAGAAACCAGCAGATAACCTGGAAACAGATTTTACATTACAAGTTACAATAAACTATTTATTCATGAACTAATCACAAAATATTTTCATGACACTTTTATAAAATATTAATAATAATCAACAGTACTGTACCTATTATCAGCCCTGAGGTACTTAAACCATCTACTGTATTTCGCAATACAATCTAACTAAATTATCAATTAAAAATTGTTATTAAATCATTGTAATCAACATTATATAGATCAGCACAATTGTGTTTATTAATTTAAAAAGCAAATTAAAAATAATTACATCCAAACAACTATTATTTAACTTATAACATCTAAATACATCACGATTTATTACTTACAATGCTAGATGGAGAGGCCCCTGCGAATTGTTGTAAATCTCATCCTTTTGTGTACATTCAACGATGCGGAAAGATATTTTTATCGATAATGTAGAGAATAATTTCACAAGAGTTTTGTCTGCGCGAGGCAGCTGAGTCTCGAGTTAATAGCACCTAACATGTGCTGTTACTAGGCTGAGCGGAAGACTTGACCTAGCAAGTAATATTTATAGCATTTGATGGCCTCAACACATGGTTGTAGTTTGAAAGTGGTGCATCGCTAACACAAAAGACATCATAATAACTAATGGCTCCAACTAGCTTGCTCTACACTTATCACCAAACAATATTAATACCATTTTTTTCTAAAACATGTAGACATTTTGCCGTTATTGGGAATTGAAATGCATTATCTGAAGTGTCATACTGTAGTCTGGGAAAGCTCAACAAATTAAATTTTACACAATAAATTTTGTATAACAAATCAATAAAATAAAGTTCTAATGAGACACATACATTAAAACAATTGTTGATGATTTCCAGATTTCTTTAAACAAAAATCCTTTAAATGTTAAATGTACAGTAAATAAAATGTTAAAATACAGTAAATTTCGCATATAGGCCTATTTTTATATTATTGAATGATCAATTACATTTATGTATTTGGCAATATTTTGGAGTAGAGCTATAGCTAGTGGTTGCCTGTCTTTCAATACCAGGATCCTGGGTTCAATTCCTATCAAGTGGCAGGATTTTTTTTTCTAATGACCAAAAACAACCCCACTCTTTGTTATTGTTTATGTATCATGTGTAGAGAATGCGTCTCGTGAAACTGATTGAATTCTACTTAGGTTTGATAAGTTTGCTATTGGCATTCTTGGCCCTTGCGCCTAAAAAAATATGAAAGCGCTTTGACATCAGTACTTACAATATTTTAAACAGATTTTCAATTTTTTTTTCCTCGGCATCAATCACTAGAACAAAGAGCAATTTGCAAAGTCAAAAAAAAAAAACTCTCAAACCCTTGGTGAACAGTTGTCTTCTCATGCAATAATTCAAACGAGAAGCAATATAATATGTAAATGGCTACGGTACTGTCTCTAGACACGTACGTCACCTAATTTGCACATCATGGTATTTGAGCAATATTTTTCTATTGTGGTATTTTGTATATCATTGTAGTATGGTATTTATACCACATTAGTAGAAATTCTTATTGTGGTATTTTTTCCTCATTTGCATATTGTGGTTTTCTTTTCCAAATCCTATACGCTGTACATCCTGGAAAGTCAGTTCAGTTTAGAGAGGAATGCTGTTAAAATTACAACTTAGGCCTATCTACTATTTAATGTTTTGTTTAATGAAATAGAGTAGAACCACTATTGGGAGGATATATAATAAAAACATGGCCCAAGTAATGGGGGTGTTCCCCTTTTTGAAAAATCTCTTACTGATAGTAAAGATATATTTATCTTTTATGATTATAATTATTATTTAAAAAATCTAGAATTTTGAAAAATCATAATTAGCAATGATAGACCACAAATCTGTAGTTATTTTTAGAAGTGATTATGCTACAAATACTTTCTAATACTTACGATTGACCATATTTGGTATGATTTAAGCAAGGCATCTTAACTTGTAATATCCTAGAGATCTATAGCTATAATAATCAAGATTTGTCCTCAAAAGCCAACAAAGGATAAATAAATTAGTTTTAATGTTTTTAGGTAACTAATGATGACTTCCTGATTTATATTGATTCATCAGTTGATAATCTACTCTTTTTCTGACATCCTTTGTATTGTAATATTTTTCTCTGAACAAATACTTGTTTTATACTAAATTATTTTGTACTTTTTAAATATTATATCTAAACTTTTCTCACATCCTCTGTACTTTCAATTTTGTCCTTCCCACATGTTATACAATAGACCTAAGTCTGTTCTCATTACTATAGTATTCTTTACTGACTGATACTAAAGTATTGTTTCCCCCAATATCAAAGTATCAACAATACAGTCAAAAGAGTAAACTTATTGTGAATCACTATATATTCTGTAATGTTTTGTCTGGTAAATTTTGAAAAAAGACCCCGTAATTAAAAATAAAACATATACTGCATCATATCTCTTATACATTACGGAGAAACATTATTATTAGTAATAAAAAGTTGATAAAAAGTTCTTGAAATGTTTTTCTGGGTTAAATATTATAAATATAAAACATAAATAATAACATATTAGTACATAATAAATAGTATTCTCTACAATTAGTAGAGAAATTGAACAGTGAATCATTGGAGAAAAATAGAATAAAACTCCCAAATAAAAATCATTATCTTTAATAACGGACCTTACCTGATATCTCTCCTCAGTAGAAAAGACGTGACAGTACTGCAGACCAACCGGCCCTTTTGGATTCCGTGCAAGAAACGCAAATTGATGGTTATCGGGTTCGCACGTTGAATATGAGATTCTCTTTAGTGCGTGAGCCATAAGAACAACCTGCAACAAAACATGTCAAAGCTCATTTGTTCATTAATATTTTTTACAACATATATAATAAAAACTTAATGAATAAAAAAAGCATTATGTAACAGAATATTGCAAATTTACACCATTTATAAATCATGCATAAATGTCGTGTGATGAAAAATGCCTAAGAGACATTACCGTAACTATGGTAACTATGTAGGTGAGATCAGTGTTGAGGATAAGTCTTTGTGCTAATAATAATTTTACTGAAACTACTGAAAATCGTCATACAATTACGATATAGTATCAAATGGATCAAGGTAGCATAAAGAAACAAATGCTGTAAAAAATTGTACAAAAATATATGTCACAGTAGGTTATACTGTACACTGTGATCCCACATGTAATTTGCAGTACCAAATAGTTACCAATGGTATTAAGTATCCATAGATACAATGACACATACAATGCATGGTAAATTCACAGTAATCTGTGTTCTTTCCAGTACAAAGTAAAAAGTGACTAGAGGAACAACACACTTAAATGTAGGCCTACTAAACACAAACTTACAGTATGTACAGTATTTACAGTCACCAGTCATGAAAAAGAGACATTCTCAACAAAATAACAGTTCTTTTCATAACTATCTATGTGGTGTACTGCAAGCATTTAGTATACAGTCACCTAGTCAACTTACACAGTACATATGAATTCTACCAGTAATTACTAACCAATTGGTATGGTTTACTGAATGTGTAACCAGATGTATTGTACAGTACTGTAAAAAATGCTGATTTAAATCTGTACAAAATGTTACTTAAATGGTGTAATCCAGTAGGAAGTATATTACTAAACAAACAATACGTCCCACGAAATGATGACGGAGTTGCATGTTAACCTAGATTTTATGACGACAAAAAAGGATGTAGGCCTACTCTAGGATCTGGATTAATTTTTCAGGGAGATATTAAATAATGGGATTTGATTTGGTTGTGGTTTTAAGTATAGCTAGAGAGTCTGGACCTCATAGGACCTAAGTTACAGTAGAACCTCTATGAATTATCCAGGCGATCTGTCAGTTGTATCTTTTTTCGTGTAATTGTCAATTACTGATTTTATAAAAGAATTAATTACATTAGGATATAATCAATTCAGACAAAACCAATGACAGATTTTATTAGAATACCATATAAAACATGTTGACTGCCATCGATGAGTATACTCGTCGTGCAGGGTGTTGCTGAAGGTGCCCGGGACGAGTATACTCATCAACATCGGGGTAACATTCTAGCGTTTACTACTTCTTTGTTATACACTGTAGAACCACAGAGTCATTAGCTGGTAGTTCGGGGAAGATACACCTAGATGATAACATGCAAATGACGTATGCATATTTATTTGTTGTGTTATGTTGCCGGTAGTACACTCGAGCGGCACAAGTGGGGGTGTCCCTTGAACATATACCAACCCATGCAAAAAGACGACGAGATAATTGCACTTGGCATAGTGAATAAAAAGTTCTGTCACAGTGCCGTCGATGAGTATGCTCATCCCTAATATTTCCTCACCAATTTATTAGACACATCATTTTGATGATATATGAATAGATAAAATTTCCAAAAAGTATGTTTGTACATGTAAACTTGTTTTGGCACATGGGAGGAACCCTAAAAAAAAATGTATGGCAGTCAATGTGTCAACATTACTTTTTATGGTGCTTAGTGACCCCGTTTGTTTGTGCCTTTTTAATCGACCTATTATTATTCTATGGAGTATTTCTTAACACCAATGCAAAAACAAAATGTTTTTTTTTTTTAATTATTGCATTGCCACATAAACAAAGAAAGGATGCCTCACCACAGCAGGGTGCAATAACCTCCAGTATCTGTAATCTAATTTAATTAATTTATAAGTTATATATTATTGTTCATTATCATCTACCAATGACTGACAGGGAAATGTTAGTATTACTAATTAGTCATTGCTCAGAGAAGAAAGTTAATGTTTAAATATTTATAAATTTTAGCTTTTCCATGGATTGCATCATGGTGTTATGCAGTATACTTCAGATGCTAGAGATGAAGACGTGATCATCTTAATGCAATACAGTAGCACAACTCATACAGAACTCATATGAACACATCATCACATTTAGAAACTTTATAGAAAAATATTTAATAACAAACCAACTTACATGCTGTTCTCCATTATTATCACGTTCTGCAGTATATATGAACTTTAATGCAACAATAGATCCACTTTAATTATACACAAGGCGGCAAAAACAAGAGCTATATCACATCCGGGAGTTCGCAATAAAATGCAGGTATACAGAGAGAAAGCTAGGTTTTGTTATGGTCATTGACAAAAGACTGGCCTTGGCACACTGCTTCATCACCTCATCAAGCAGATCATAGGCCTAACATTTAGGTTGCTACCACAGGAAGCCTCATAGCACTTCATCGACAGATTGTGAATACTAGCACGTCCTATACCACAGGAACCACTAAATATCTTGGATAGTGTACATCTCTTTTGTTTCTTGAATTTTTAATTGCAAGTTGAGAAATATTCATTAGCTGAAGGACATTGCAATTCTGTCACGATGTCAACGAACTAATTAATAAGAATGTCACCATGGAAATGCCTACAAAATGAATCTTAACATGATCCCAACTAATCCACTGGAAGTAACAATCAAAATACTGTAATAATAACAACACTAAATAATAAAGTAACAAAAATACTAAAGTGAAATAACCATTAATGATAATACATTAAAAAAATTACAATATTAACAACAATATGAATAATAGTATTAAACAAAATTTAATAATTATTAACAATAAATAATTATATATATATATATAATAGTAATTATTATTATTAATAAGGTAAATAAGGTATTATTAACAAGGTTATTTAACGTTATTAACAATAACAGTTTACTACTGATAGCAGTAACAACAACAGCAATAGCAGCAATGGCTAACAACAGCAAAAGCAGACATAGACACAATAACATTTTCAGTATCAGGGGCGGATCAACTGGACACCTTACAGTATTTTGTCAATATACGAATGCCATGTATTGAAATAAGAAAAAAATAGAATACAAATAGCACCCCCCCTTCGAAACATTCTGGATCCACCCTCAAGAATAAGTAGTAGCTATAAATCTTTTTACCACCTACAGCAAAAAAAAAAATAAATAAATAAAATAAATAAATAAATAACAAAACAAATTAAATAGGAATGAATTATGGGGTGTTAAGCAAAGGGAAGATTTTAAGAATTTTAAATTACAATAAATAACAACTACTGTACTCAGAACAACAACAGCAATAATATAATATGCATTGGACAATATGTTCATCACCATTAAAACAGGAATCTTAGTTTGTTTGCAGTTATTCCATATAAGGAATTTGGGGCAGTATCTGAGATCATAGCTGAGGGCATGATCAGGAAGCTCAAGATCCTTCGGGATTACAGTTTGAACCCGCACAGAATCTAGCTACATGATTTAAAACCAACATTTATTCTATCACATCCTGAACCATTGCTTTAAGTGTTCATCTTGAAAATACTTAAGTAAATAGGTCACAAAATAATAACACTCTTTAATTATATCAAAATATATAATAGTGATTACACTAATACCACTTAGTACTACTACTAATAATAAATAATAAAATAATCTTTATAATTAATTTTCATACATCAAATTATTAATTATAATCGAAAATTGAACCCATTCATATCCCCATTCGTCGATGAGCGGTGAGCCGTGGGGGGGGGGGGGGGGGGTGGGTCTTTTTTTTAATAGTGATAACACTAATACTACTTAGTACTACTACTACTAATAAATAATAAAATAATCTTTATAATTAATTTTCATACATCAAATTATTAATTATAATAAAAAAAAAATAAAGGAAAACAATGGCAGTGTGTTACAGACCCGTAGCCAGACTTCCAAGGGGGGTGGGTCTTTTTTTTAGCCAAAGGTGACCTTTTTATACGGGTGCCTCCACGACCCAATGTGTACCGTAGGCACATGCTCTGTGGCATGTGCTGCTTGATACATTGTGTGTAAATGCAGTACATGACTATCAACTCACATTGGGGATTCTCCTGCTTCAGCCATCATTCAGATCATTTTGGCCTGAGATAGATCCACAGGCCACAGGCTATAGGTCTAGCAGCTGTATGAGAAAAATATTTGGCCTGGAAAAGGGTGACCCCAGCCGAGGGGGGGGGGGGTCGTCTGACCCCTCCAACCCCCCTCTGGCTACGGGCCTGTGTTAACTGTTTCATCAGTCATGAAAATGTTTGGTTTAAACAGACATACTGCACTTTATATAAGTTATAATGGACAATAAAGTTTAAAATTATAATCATCAGGAGAGTGCTAATAATACATCCACAAATATAGTTATTATCCTTGAAAATAGACCTAATAATATACTATAATAAAAATAAAATTTATTATTAAATATTATTATTATTATTATTTTATTATTATTATCATTAACGATGAGTAGCATAAAGATGATGATGATTATAAAATACAAATCACTACAATTTTTATTCTTAATTTTTAATGATTTTAACTATGGAATATTTTACTTCATTTTATAGTTAGGATTTTTATATCTGTATTTGAATTGTTTTGAAAGGAGGCCTCTTCAAGTCAGCATTGCTGTTCAAGCCACTCTCTCAAAAGATTGTCAAATAAATAAAATTAATATACTGTATCCAATTTGAAGATAAACTACACATGTCACGTCCCAAATCTACTGTAAAGAATTATAGAGGGCAGCAAACAACACAATCAATAACTCTCAATTAATTTGTTATTCAATAATTGATACAAATTCTACAGAAAGTAAAACCAAAGTAACATTTTAAAGACTAGTTTAAATATTTACCAAAACACAAGCTTCTGTGTACACAGTGCACACTTTCTGTGTACATTGAATGCTTTGTGTAAATATTTGTGCTACTGTAGTCTCTAAAGTTTATATTTATATTCAAGTTTGAAAAGTTACTAGGTCATTCCGTGTCAAATCAAACAGATTTCCAAAAAGTTCCTGTATGACCTCTCAGATTTTGATGAAACTTTATAAGAATTATCCACTGTGTGAAAAACCAACACACAAAAAAAATTAGCGTTACAGGATTTTTAGTTTTCTAGATATTGACTCCTCAAAAAAGGGGCATGGTTCTTCAAGATGTGCAAACGTATGACTGGATTAATTAATTAATAATGAAACGACATCTTGTTTTCCAACCTAATACTGTAAAATACAAATTCAATTCAATATTTATTTGCTCCAAAGTTATCAATGGGCTATTATCCGCCATACAAGAAACATTACATTTGCAATAGGCAAAGAAAATTCATAATACAAAAGTAAACAATAGATCAATGTGTTCCAAGAGAACAGTACGGATAGAGGCTTTGTTGGCAGAAGACAGATCAAGGTTTAGAGATGAGCAAAGCTTAGGTGCATATGTAAAAAATGAAGATTTGAAACGATCGGTTCTACAAGGAGGCGGTAAGAATGTAATGTAATTTGACTTTACAGGAATATTATACCTTGCTTTCTCAAATTACATCCCTTGAAGGTAAAAAGGAAACTTTGACTTTCTTGAACCCAACAAGGCTTTATAATTCATTTTTGTGACATTCAAAAGTCCTCTTCACCTTTATATTGTAGTACTGTACTGCTGTTAAGATGTGGACTAATTCCAATGCTGTTTAAGTGTTTAATCCAATTGTGTTCCAATAAACTCACATTCAATTGAAAACGTACCTTTTCATTAGCCACCTGGCAAACTTTGACCCCTGAGAGAGCAATGACAAGTTGCACCGATTTTGCATTCTTCTTATGCTGTTAAAAATAATCCACAAAAGAGATTGCAAAATTATTAATAGTAAATACTATTACCAAACACTGAAGCAGAGCTCAGCAAAAGGGAATTCTGTTGTCTGAAATATAAATTATATTAAATGTACCATGTTTTCAGAGTTGGAACGGCATGCCTTGAGGCGATAGCAGCACTAAGAATTCATGTGGCACTTCATCAGCCATATAATTAAATTTTGTATTTTATTTTTAATATTCAATACATAAAGTATGTATATTTCCATATTTGTATTAGGAAAGAAAAGGGAATTCAATAAACACTTATTAATATTCAAAACTTGCCAGTAAAAGCCCATAAAATGATAGAATCAATAAAATCCTAATGTATTAAAAAGGGTAGGAAAATAAGAACCTGGCAAATAATTTTTAGAATATTTTAAGAATTAACTCACAGTGTGTTATTAAGTATTGTTTGTGTCAATCACTGATTGTCTCATTCTATAAATATAATACATTCTTAGATCATTGAAATCTAGTTTCCTGGTTACAATCCTTAAGTATCCCACGCTGGTACTCAGCGACATTAAAACTCAGATTCTAAACAGTCATTGTTATTAGTTTAATCTCAACAGCTAAAATTCTATAACATGTGGATTATTGTGGATAATTGCTTCACTAACATTTCAAAGTACTAGTGTGTATTATACTATTTGCAGCTTGAAATTTGCATATTCAAGTAGGATTTGGTTTTAACCACTTGCCTGCTACTTACAAATTTTACTGTATAACATTGATATCAATTTTATTCTCTTATATTTCAATAGTTAATTTATTTTCTATAGTAAACACATTATATCGTCATTGCGGACTTATAAAATCCGCATACGCCTTAAAACTAAAAGAAAATGCATACGTTTAGAGTCCGTACTGAGCCCAAAAAATCCGCAATGAAAATATAACGTGTTTGTATTAAATTATTTAATTATTGAAGATTTTGTTACAACATGTAAATGGACAAATTTATCTTTTCAAATATGCATTAATATTTTAACTTTGAATAAGCTTAATTTTTAAAAAATAATTTTGAGTTAAGTGTATACTAGATATGTTTTTCTAACTTTATGCACAATACGTTCTTTATTATTTTAAATTCTATTTTCCACATTATAGTAATTAAAAATTTTGAGATGATTGTTAGACAGAAGTCAATTGACAAGGGCCTAGTTTGTCTGATAATACAGTTGATGTAAAAATTGGGGAAAGCCAAAAAAAAAATCAATCATACAATGAAATACTTAATTTCATTTAATAGGACCACCTAAGTGACTTTCAATACAGATCTACCAATGAGTTTTTACTGGTTTGTTTTACAACAATATCCTTAATGACTAACTTTATTATTAACCAAATGATTTATGATAGAAACTTTATATCCATTTAATATTTTTTCTTGTTAGAAAACAATAAAAAAATGTCCATGTTGAATGGGGATTTGGTTTAGACTTTAGTCACTTGTCATTGGACTTAAGTCTTGAAATAATTTGAAGTATGATATATGAATCATTCTATTATACTCCATTTTTTACAAGGAATGTTTCATACACTGATAGTAACTAAAATCTCAATCTTAAATAATGTATCAATAGATTTTTAAAGCAATAAATATGCAAAATTATATGAGTATAAAACAATATAAATTCTTATAATAGTTTCTTTTTATAAAAAATGAACAAATATAAGTCAATATAAAAATAATAATCATAATTCATTAGACAATAATTATATAAAAATGAATGGATGAATGAATGAAGGAATTATTAAATGCATGAATTACTGTAAATAGAAGTCAAGTATAAATTAGTAAGTAATTAATACTGTAAATTTAATACTTACCTTGAAATTGTTCATCTGTTTTTGCAAATATTCTGCTCTGTTTTCATCAGAAATATGCATAACAGGAAAACTGGTCACATACTAAATATGTTTTAAAAAAAGCAGCAACAAGAAATTAAAAATGATAAGTAAGCAAAGTTAATTAATGAGCAATTAAAAGTATTGTCAAAAGAATACTTTACTAGCAGTCATGTTATAACTTTACAAAAACAGGATGCCTAAGATATCCTATGTTCCTTGATCATGTGATCAGTATTAACCAATCAGTGATAATTATGACCACAACTTATCAATCAAAGTTATTTAATTATTAAAGAAAATATTTATAACTTCAGCAAAGTTAATAATTTAGGTTCAGTAGCATTATTACTGTACTTAGACTTTTCATGTTTTGTATAGTTTCTAGCGACATTCCTTCATTCATTGTATTTTTCTTTTATTTCTTTCATTTCCAGTAGTTTCCTTGATGTTCTTGCTTATTGCTTAAAAGCATCTTAAACACCAATCTACATCTTCACTAAAACGTATCATTTTCTTAAAATAGATTATAGTCAGGCTCCGGAGGAAAACTATTTTTGATATGCTGTAGAACTGATTTTTCTAAGACAGAAAAAAGTTGTTTGACGAAAAATTGAGGAACGGTTATTAGGCTACAGATTTTGAATATTAAAAACTGGGGGTGGGGGGAAGCTGAAAAAAAGGGTGGTTACGCCTCTTGTTACACCAGTTTTTAATATTCAAAAACCTGTATCTCATTCACCATTTACCAGTTTTTCGTCAAACAACTTTTTTCTTTCTTAGAAAAATCAGTCCTAAAACATACCCAAATTTTTTTTTCCTCTGGAGCCTGACTCTTACAATTTTTACTTTCTTAAATTTAACTACTAATATGTCATGAAACAAGGGCCCTGGTGAAAACACCGCAAAAAAAAAAAAAAAACTGTCACAGATGCACCTGGAAAAAAAAATGCCTCCATGATCAACAGTGAAGCAGTTGTGTCTAAGGTTGGGTATCCATGGTTATATGCAAATAAGTTGCTTTAGCCATGCTGTGATTTGAAATACTGTACACGACACAGTAGGTGAGCGTGGCTGCATGTTATTATTAAGGTGGACCTTCAAATTCAAATTACAGATGCTTCAATTATGTAGTGAAACTGATCCGGTTAGGTTGACATCATTAGCATTTGCGAGGATCGGAAGATTGGCCAATAGTTTGTTAATTTGAATAATTGGTGTCAAGAAAAGATGAGCGACATCTGAAATTTCAAATTTCATTTTAACAATTAACTTATTTGCATATAACCATGGATTTTTGCTGCCTGCCAGGCCAAATTAAAAGATGAAACGGCAAATCTAAAGATGATTGAAATAAATATAAAATAAATCACAAATTATCATCATCATCTAAATTCATATCTCATATCCACATATTATATTATTAATTAATCCTCTTGGCTGGTGTTCACACAGAATAAATCAAAAACAATCCTGAAGTGACATCATCCTCATCCTCATCAACATCATCATCAATCATAAATAATCATCAATTTTCATCATCGTTGTTGTCACCATAATCGTCCGATTTTTCTTATTGAGCATTAACCTATATTACTGGAAGCTGTCCTTTTTGACCAACTTTTCAAAACGCTTTAAAAACAATTAATCCATTATATGAAGAGGCTTACTGTACCTTAGCAAAGCGTTTGATAACCTTTTCATCAACAACCTCTCCTCCTCCTGCTTGGCCTTGGGTTTTCGATTGAGTCAAGTCGACTGGACTTCGCTCAGGCTGCACTCCATTCATGCCGAAACTTTGAGGTAGTTTTTGTTGTAAATGTTCACGTCTCTCTTGAAACAACGTAAGTTCCACGTTCCGCTTTTCCTTTTTCTTTGCTTTGTTTGAAAACATGACGAAAATGTAGATAGCTATCAGTGGAATTTAAAGATGTAATAGCTGCTTTTATACCTTACTTACCTCACCGCCATTCTCTCCTCAAGCTGATGAGCTGCTTGACAGATTTCTCAAAGTTATTGCGGCTCTTTGTTGACATCGGATACTTCCGGTGTAGTTCAACATGTCTCATGTGCGCAGTCTGTTTGTAATCAGCACAAATTGACAACCAAATCAATGAATTGGGAAGGAAAAAGACTAAAATTCCTACCAAACAATATTTAACACTTACTTATTAAATGGCAAATGCATTTAAAGTTAATTCAGAATCGTCTTTATTGCCTACAGTTACTTAAAATCGAATATGAAGTGTATATCCAAATTCAACTTACTGCGCATGGGGACAATATTTTATGGAAGGGCATTATAACTAGAACACCATCGGTATAAACAACTCCATGGTCACGACAAACGAGTGACGGACGACGGCGAACTGTGAAGGACTAGGCCTAGCCTAGCCTAGAGAGGTTTTGCTAGCCTAGGCCTAAGAATTTCCTTTTTGAAAGGTAAATTCATAAGTAGATTATTTAATCTATTTCCGTTAGCAATAATGTCAGACCTGGTCAAACTAGGCCTATATGGATCAACATGTGGTGGGGTGTTTGTTCTGTTCTTCATCAGGACTAGCCTAGGCCTATCACCATACCATACACGGGTCACGGGGGCGTTGTTAGATGGATGGGCTGATGGGATAGTCACTGGAGAGGATAAGTATTAGCCTAGGAGGCTAGCTAGGGCCTTGTCAACAGGGTCAACATACATAGCTGTGCCCCGGCATTTTCTTAAGTGCTCAAGCAAGGTTATGTCATAGTCCCTGTCTCTTATACACATCTAGATGTGTATAAGAGACAGCCTTTGGTGTGGCTGCTCCAAAGTTGTTCTACCTGCTAAAGTCTATAAGTCCGTCTCTTTGTCCATCTTTAAGAAGCAACTCATCTGCACAAACTGATATAGCACTTTCTTGGAAAAAAAAAAGCTACTGGGCCGAAGCCTCCAATTTTTGAAGTTGGTCAATAAGAAGAAAAAGAAGAAAAGAATCGTTCTGCCTCCGTCTTTTGACTTGCTCTCTCACTATACAAGTCAATCTACTAAATATTATTATTATTATTATTATTATTATTATTGATGATCCGCTTCACGCTTGGCATGGAATAGTCACAGTGAGCTGTTCAATGTGCACAGTCATGCGTGACGTCATTTACGCGCAATTTTACATGTTTTACATTATCGATCATATCATCGTAACTAATTGTCATTTCTAAATCATATTCAGTGGACATAAACATCAGGTCAAGTTTGAATGTCATGTACGTCAAAATTTAAAAATGCTCAAAATCACTTTTTGACTAAATTAGAGCACGTTTCAGGCCATTTTGAGCATTTCAAAATTGTTTTGACATTTTCCACTACGCGCGCATTTTTACGCACACAGCATGTACGGAAGCTAGAAAATACATTTTTTTACATATTTTGGGTTCCTGACATTGTATTAATTTCCATTCTTTTCAGTCATCTTTTGGCCAATAGCAATGCCGTACGCGCGCATCAAACATAGGGATCTTTGCTCGCGTTTGTGCAGATAAACAGTGAAAAGATGCTAAAATCGGGCCTATTTTTAATCAGTTATAGCTCCTTAGGTTAAATGGTGACCCCCAATTTCTGTCTCTTATACACATCTAGATGTGTATAAGAGACAGTATATATATATATATAGGTACATTTTTTAATCAGCTTTAAAACATATCTTGTACAAAGATTAAAAACTGTAATGAGGTATTCCTATCCAGCAAGTTATTCTTAATGTTCTTTATTTTTAGGATTTTAAAGCATGAAAACAATTTAATTAAACAGACAAAGCAGATAAAAAACTTGAATGAGGCCAAAGGTCAACTGCAGGACCAATTAAACAACGAATTAACACATAATTCAAATTTAAGGTAAAATTCAGTTTATGTTACACAAATATACAAATCTCTTCATAAAATATCTTCACTTTTGGTTCCTGGACACTTCTGACCCCAATCACTCCTATATTGTATTTTAATCCTGTAAGTGGTAAACCAGTTAAAAAGGAATGAGATATTAAGGAACATGAACGACAAATGTGTTACCAATATTAAATATATCAAATCTCTTTTTCTTATACAAAGTCTTAATAAATTTATGTATTTATATAAGTATCTAAAATGTCAGTTTTGCATACAGTATATTTTTCGTCACATAACCCCAGTGATTGGAATTTATTTATAGAAAACAGAACAGTAGTATGATGAGCAAACTTCCAGATTTGATGTTCATGGTCAAAAGTCAAAGGTCAGAGTTGACAAATATCCACACATTTGTCAGTCAAAGGTCAAAGTTGGTTCATGAAACTATGGCAACACTCAATGCTAAAATAATGTCAGTGTCCGAGAGAGAAATTTCAGGTTAGTCTTTTCTTTCTCATCATCGACATTGCATCATCAATCACCACCATCGTCATCATCACCACCATTATCATCATCATCATAATATTCTTTATCGTTAGCCACATCGTCAGCTGTATCATTGTCATCATCATCTTCAGATCATCCTAGGCCTAATCACCATAAGGCCAAAAAAATAAATTGTTTGTTTGCCCTTGTTTTTTTAAAAATGATAAATAGGGGAGGGTGGAAAAAGTTTCTTATTTATTTATCTATTTTTAAGAAAAATTCAGATGGATAAAAATAACCCACAGAGGCCTAGAATGACAATATCTTACATCAGACAACAACTTTAGACTAATTTGTAGGGCATCTGGCAAAAAATAAAGATAAATTCACTCACATTTTTTTTAATTTGTAAAGAAAAAAGATAAAAAAAAAAAATTATTTGTTTTTCCGCCCCTATTTCTTTTCAGTGAGTTAGGGGCGGGTGGAGGAGGGCAAACAAACAATTTTTATTGGCCTTGAGCTAAAATGATAATGAGCACTATCTAATATATTATACAGTATAATCAAATTCCTGCTCATTGTAAACATGAACATCAATCTCCTCAACCTCATCATCATCATGATTGTCATCATTATCATCAACATCTTTATATAATATAAATATATGAATGATTATCCTAATCAGTGATTATCCTCATCATTGTCTTTATTTATTCTAACTACAGTACATGTAATAAAAATCATTTTCATCATAGCTCTGGCTTTTTTCTTCTTTAGAAAAAGAATCTTTAGAAAGTAGGCTATCATCTCAGCAGAAGGAATTATTGCAGTCCAAAGAGGAGAACCGTCATTTAGAATCATTGGTAAAAAATAATGAAATGAATGAGACTCAAATAGAAGACATGGAGGTACAACTGGTCTCCAGCAGAGACCTCTGCCAACAATTACGTTCACAAGTCAATAGTAGGTTTTCATTTAAATTTAATTAAATAGGCTTCTTTTAACCTCATGACCTTAATGAAATTCACCCTTTTTCTGTTTGGTTTATCCAAGATAACCTTTGTAATTTTCCCAGCCAATCACAACATTCTTAGTTCTACTGTGGTCAAAATTTTATTGATGACAGATATGCAACAGGGTATTTCTGATATGATAAAGCTCAGTGATTTAACTTTTACAATTTTAAATTCTACATTTTACTTTTATTTTTGTAGCGAGCCCCGTATTAATTCTTCTGTGCATGTTAATTCTAAAAAAAGTCCTGAGCTATGTAAGCACTGTCCTTATCATTAAAATTTCATATGCATAATTATTATATTAAGGTCAGAGGTCATTATTTGTACTAAATTTCTTGTTCTCATTTCAGAACTGCAGAATGATGTTGATGATGCTGTGGGCAAATACAGAACTGCTGCATCAGAATCAGCTCAATTTAGGGAGCAACTTAGGTATGTTGACTGTATACGTAAACTAAAGAATAGCAAAGTTTAAGATTCTTAAAATGAGTTCCTTGAGTTAAACCGTGTTTATTTAATGTTTAGTTACTGTTATTACTATTCAATCATCATCCTCATCATTGTCATAAACATCATTATCATTTTCAACATCATTATAATTATTAATTTCATTTCTCTAAATTGTAATTTATTACCTTTTCTTTCTTTTCATTGTTTTTCTTCTTTTTTTGGGTCATCTATTATTACATAAGAAAATTTAGCTTTTTTGTTTCAACAGAAATAAAACACAAGAAGTTGAAGACATCCAAGAACAGCATAGAAAGAAAGATCTAGTCTCCGACCAGATGTTTAGTAAATACCAACTAGAGTTAAAACAGAAGTCAGAAGAGCTGAAGCTAGCCAATTTAGAAATAAAAAAGTCACAGCAGAAACTCTCAGAGAAAAACCGAATTGAAGAGGATATTCAGCGACAAGCTGATGAAAAAATGCAAGAGACAGAAGGAGTAAGGGAAACCCTGCGCAAGGCCAATGAAGAGTGCAGGGCTCTGAAAGAGGAGAGGTGAGGCTTTTTAAAAATAATATTAACTGAATTATTTCTAGTTGAGTATCTAGGAAAAGATGATCAGCCTCTGAGGACCAGCCATGATCTATCACCGTCTCTGTTGTGACTTGTACAGTACACCTGGAGAAAATACCCCTTTTTTTAAATGAAAATTGTACTGTACATATTTTTTATTTTTTAATAATTTCAGAGAACTTATGATCACTTCTCATCAAAATCGAATTGAGCAACTGAGAGATAGTTTTAAGCAGAAACTTAGAGAAGCAGAAAAATGGCCAGAAAAAGTAAGTGATAAGATCATGAAACTGTATGTTTTGTACACTCCTCTTTCTTTAAATCTAATTGTTGTAAGGATGTGATAAGAGAAATGTTATTTCATAAATTCCACAGGTGTCTGAGGAGTCGAGGAAGGAGAAAATTAGACATACACAGGAGTTGAAGGACTTAGAAGAAAGTTTGAAGCAAGCTTTTCAAATGGTACTGAATGTTGTTATTATTTACAGTATGTTTCTTTTAATAAAATGGCAGTAGTTTACTCTCACTAAAATGATTTTATTTAACTGAATGCTATGTATATATATATTTATTTGAATATATTAGTACTGACCAATAATATTTAAAATGGTATGAATTTCATTAAAAAAAACAAAAAAACAAATCACATTTTTGTGATACCGTGAAATTCTTTCGATTTATTTAAGGAAATGGATATAGAGAAACAAAAATACGAAGAACTTATAGAAAAGTACAAAGATGAAATTATGGAAGTGAACGAACAGGTGATTATGATGACAATCTTTAACCTTCATTTACTCGATGTTGGCTCGGAATATGTGGTTTTTTATTAATGAAGCACATTATACTAAGGTTACTATGTTCTCAGACAAACTCACTCATACAACCTCCCAAAGTATCCCCTTAGGTGCCAGAACATTATGTACACAGGAGCTAAAGTGGATGAGAACACGGGTTAACCCCAGTTCTATGTACCCGGCGGTCGTTGGTGATACAATTCTGTAGAGAACACAATATGACAATGCTTTTTAAAATGGCAATTTGCTTAGACTGCTACCAAAAATCAGCGGATGGCATTGTATTGCAAGCGCTCATTGCATTACATTGTCAAGTGGGGTTCGATTCGTTGGCTGACAGTCGTACAACACAGTTTATTTTCTGGCTTGAGAACCCTTTTTAGAGAAGACTAAAACTCAGAGAATATTTAAACCCAGAGCAAACATCTGAATTCAAACCTGTACTCACGAAAAGGCTGTAGCCTTTTGCAGTGCTTCTCCTGTAATCAATTCGCTGCAGTACCTATTAGTATTCCCAAGTTTGACCCAAGTACCAGTGGCGGATTCAGCCCCCTTTCCCTAAATTTTTCAAAATTTAAGAAAAATGGAGAAAGAAAAGAAATTATATGATTCATATTGTAAGCCTGAGAGTGGCATTTCCAGCCATCTAGATGTGCCGTAATCATAAATTTTCAAACCTCAGCCCCAATCAATGTGGCCTCACAGGTACAGAATCTCCACCTGTGAAAGTCTGTTTCTAGGCCCCCTATATTTCAAATTTCTGGATCCGCCACTGAGTACTGACTGGGCCAAACAATACTTAATTTGGTGAATTGACTGTGTTTCAATATGTGGTATGGCTAGACCTAAACATTGATTAATTTTATATAAAGTTTCTTTACTTTATTTGTGCATTTTGTTGTATTTGACAGTCAAGAAATGAATTAAAAAGTATTTGTAGTAAACACAAGATCGAGTTATCTCAACTACAGCGGCAAACAGATGATGCAAAAAGTTCCATACATGGAATTGAAAGGTCTTATAAAGATGAGATAGCAAGTTTGAAGAACATCATCACCAATTTACAGGATAGACTTGGTAACTATTGCTTAAAGATTTATTCAATGATGGTTCGATTGTGAAAGTGAACAATCTATTCAAGGTGTTTGAAATGTAGTACTGATTCCATCAACTGTTGTAAAAATTATTAACTACTGTAGATAGAGTTGCAGTTGAACTTGCCTAATTCGACTTTGTCTAACTCAAATAATTGAAAGTCAATCTTATTTAAAGTCGGGCACACACTGCGTCGTGTGACGGTCGTAACACTGTCGCACGACGAATTCAACTCCGCTTCCTGTAAGCGCTAGACGACGCGGCGCCGTCTGCTCATTGTCGGTGTCAGTCTGAACGGATCGTGATTAAAAGCGATTGGTTGCATGCGTAGTCGCGTTGGCCAATGACCATCAGACGTAGTGAGTTCCCTGCTTTACATGCCAAATTGTTGTGCTTTCCATTTACCAAGTTAAATTTTATCTAAGAGTCAAACATTTTCAATGCCATTTTGGATTCGACTTGCATATGCTTATTGTTTGTACCTTTTTTCTCCTCCAAAGCTCATATTGATCGGGAAAATGATGGGTCTGAAGTTCAACTACGAGCAGAATTAAGAGAATCAGAGAATGATTTAAGTTCCATGAGAGAAGAGAATCAAAAGTTGGAGGGAAAAATGAATGAAGCCAGAGAAGAAGTAAGTTATGTGTCTTCTATTGCTGAGTTAAAGCTGATGAGAGTGATGGTTATGATGATTGTGATGATGAGGAGGATGATAGTGATGGTGAGGAGGGATCTCGATGATGATGATAGCAACAGTGACACTGATGATATTGATAGTGATAACGCATGATAATGATATTCAAAATGATGATGATGATGATGATACTTCTATTGTTGAATATATTATTAAAATCGACAATAGCCATGAAAGATTTTCTGTTGAGAACCATAATATTGGAACAGTGAAATATATAATGATGATACTGAATGAACAATGCTATTGATGTTAATAAATATGATAACATTTTGATGATGAAGCATATTGGTTTTATCTATGATCTACAGTATTTTCACTCAATATTCTGTTTTTTAGATTCTTTTTCTCCAAGAGACTGTGAGAAGAGAATGCGAAGAGAGATTTGAGTTGACTGAAGCTTTAAGTCAAGCACGTGAACAGTTATTGTCTTACCAACATCCAATGGCATACAGCCCAGGATCACGACCTAGCTCAAATAGTCGACCTACCTCTAATTCTAGGCCTAGCCCAAACACTAGGCCTCTGTCATCCGCGAGAAACCAAAGTAAAGAAAGGAATATTCTGAATGGTCCTCAAATCGTTTCCAACAGTTCATCTTCCAGTGTTATTCCTTCAGGAAAAGTTTCAACTTCCAGTTTAAATATAGATTTTAACGTTTCAAATGGTAAGACAAATAACAGTAGAGCAAAGGGAGGCAGCATGACGGATAGTAGACAGAGAATCGCTGCCGCAGTTGGCCGAAAGTGAGATCGTGGCTTTCTTTGGCCAAAATTATTAATATGAACACTTAAAGACAATCGTAATTTGCAACCTTCACGAACATGGTATATTAGGCCTGATGTTACCAAGATTAAAGATGAGAAGCAGTATAATTTGAAGCCAGAAATACTCAAACCTAATGGTGAAATATAAGGTAGACCACTTCACAACACGTCAAAAGTGCAAGCTGGGTTATCTAGGCCTTGATGTCGAGAATGGTCAGCATTTGTTCAAACTCCTGACCTCGAGGTTCGGAACCTGGATGGAAAATCACTGTGCCAAATTGCCTTCCCTATCTTGTTAGTATACAAATATTTACTTGGTTGAGGGGCATGGTTTAAATTATAGCCTGAGGTGATCTGGAGGCTGTACTATGTCCCAAGACAAAGTCAAGGGACATACAGCCTCCAGATTACCAAGAGCTATAATTTGAACTATGACCTGATTAAAATTCCAGTAAATATTTGTTTTATATACCCCTACATAGATTGTAGGAGGGCATGGTTGAAACTTTTACCATTCAAATTTTGGGAATATGTAGTAGGTATATAATTTTGAATAGTTGCTTATTAACCAAACATGCTGTTTCCCTGATGGACACCATCTACTTCTTCCTTCAATTTATAGGTGGTGCTATATTTTGAGCTATAAGTATACAACCTTTAGTTATGCACTGCTGTCTTACCCATTGTTTTTAATGTATTGTACTCAAGATTTAGCACCATTTTGGGAGCCTGTTTTGAATTTTCCAAAAACATGTTACCTGTCTCTATTGCAGTATTGATTAGATTTGTGTTTGTGTTGTGTTGAATTTATGAAATGTTGGCAACTATGAAATTACACCTTGTATTTGGTAAGTGAGAAAAGTAACTTGATTCATCACTAGCTGGTGTGCACACAGCGGTTTCTTCATGTATCCTATGTTAATGAGATTATTTTTTTCCTTTGCTATACAAGTCATAATATGTTATTCTCAGTGTAAGTTAGATGAATCCATTATAGACAGCCTTGATATTTGAAATCCAATAATTATAAGAGCTTAGTATAGAACTTATAAAGTGAGAGTCCCTCATTTTCATTCCATTGTAGTGCGTGCATTACATAAAATCAGTGGGCTTGCTAAGATAAGATAGTAAAACTGGTGCTGTAACTTGGTGGTTAAGATGCTTGCCTTCCAAGCCCATGGTCCTGGGTTCAAATCCTGTTTCTTTCTCACAACCAAAATTTCTAAGCCTCATATAAAACTTAGTTTGTAGAGCATTGTTCCATGATTTAATTGGCAAATGTACTTGCTGTTGGATGTGAAAATAATAAATAATTGGAATAAAAATAAGATAAGATAAGATAAATGAGGGTTCGCAATTAATCACGATTTCATGTTGAGAGAATGCTTCTTTAATGTCCAGTTAGCAGTGGTTGTAATGAGACAACGAACTACTCAGTCATAAATTATATATTCAATGGACATATTAATACAGCCTAAGGTATAGTGATGTTAATATTCAGATATTATTGGCAATACAGCCTACGTAACACATATCCTATAGTCAGTTTTTAATGCTTGTACAATACAACTATCATACGATGCATTCAGTGTGGGCCTAGGGCATAAGTATAATTAATTCTGTTTATACCTGGTGGGAATGTCATTAGCAATTTATTAGTCTGTTACTGAATTAGCTGTAGGGTTAGGATTACTCCCCAGGGGTGGGGAGGTTACCCATATTGTGCATGAATGCTTATGTGCTAATGCTATGTCATACAACATTTGGGAAACAAATGTAATTTTATTCTTTTTTCTTTAATGTGACAAAAGGATTTCGGCCTCCAGTGAGTTCACTCCCCCTCCCCTCTGTATATAATCTTCATGTATACCTTATTTTTCTCCAGGTGAAATTGGCTAAATTAGGGGTGGGGTAGTTTTGGGGGCATCATGACGTGTAAATTTAGCCCCCCACTTGGGCTGAAATTCCTGTGACACTGATGCTATACAATATTCTCTTATTATTTTGGTTTTGAACTGCTATGTTCCATTTTAAAATCCAATATATAACATAAGTTTTCTGACTTCCAACAAGAAGAATATACTTTTTATTTTATGATTAATCAATCACTTCATTTTTTGCTGTGTTTTTTATAAAATGTTTTGTTATGCAAATGCAAATACTTTAAATAGTAATTTTTATGAATAAATCTATTTATAATGCAATTGATGAAACCGTCCAATGAATTATATACTGTACTGTATTATATTTCAGTTTACAGTGGTATTTGTATTTCTTGACAAATGAAAAAAATATAGAGAATAAACAATGATCTATGTACCTACTACCTTTTTGTGTTTTATATATAATTGGTGAAACTGTTGAAGAATTGCCTTAAAGCCACTGCAAAAAAAATCATACCCAGAATATGTGTAGTTTTGCAGTGGTGGTGGATCCATGATGAGATGTAAGGGGAAATGCTTCTCCTCTGCAACAGCAAAAAAAAATAATACTGACATTATAACTATTAAAATGACTCAAACAGATGGAGGCTAATCACCCAAGGTTCCATATTATGGAAGGGAATACCCCAACCTCTCCCCTCAGCAAATCCACTACTGTTTTGGGTGAAGATTTACTTAAATAAAAAAAAGTGTCATAACATTGAATATTCCAGCCAATTTCTGCATGATCATAGCCTATAGAGACTGATACAAGTTACGTACCGGTAATATTAAAAATTAAATCTCCTGGCCTCCATTGATTTCATCATTTTTTTACATGAATTTCGAATGCATTATGGACAATAAAAGTTGATTTAATTTTTAGTTGATTAACATAATATATTTATATTTTGTATATTTGTAAAATAAGTCACTAATATTTTATACATTTGCTTTGCGGCAACAGATATTTGTTTGGCATCTTTTATATCTTTATAATTTTTTTTTTGAATACTTATATCCCCCTGGTAGATTATCAAGAAATGTTATTAGCGAACCATTACTGTCAATATCTTCACTTTATTGGTTGACCTGGATTCACCCGAATTAATGGATTTTCTCTACACTTCAACGAATTCAAAGTTGTAAACAAGTTACAGCGCCATCAACATGTACATAAACCGGCAGTACAGAAGCGTGTATTGTACTTCGGGTGGTTTGCAGAAATTGTTTCCTATGTTGCAAATATTGGTAAGTAAACTAGAAATTTTTCAGATGAAGTATCATATAGAAAGATTATTATGTTATGTATTGAAGAAATGTATTATTTAATATTTGCTTTGTTGATTGTTGGATAAGAGGTTTGCTGCGCGTTCGATATAGCCTGTCCGAGGATTTTCAGCGGTAGGCTAGCTCTAGCCTAGGCCTCATTGGATTGCCATCAAATCAAATGAATGAGACGCAGATTCCCTTGCTTGGTTGGTCCTAAAAAAGGACCTCACTGGTGGTAGGTGGTGTTCCCGTGTGGTGGACAGGCATTACCGTGGGCCGGGTTAGTGTATGCTAACCAACACATTACCCGTAACAATATTGTGAAAGAAACTAACTGCAACATTTGATAATAATGACAAATTTTGGATCCTGACTGGCATTTTCTCTTTTCACACATCAATCAAGAAGAGTTTAGAAGTGGAGGTGGTTGGTACCTGTAGTGTTTGATCATGGACCTATTTTAATGATTAATGATTGCCAGTTCAATCAAACCACAATGTCCTGGCTCTGGGTTAATAATAATAATGTAAAGCTCATAGGCTACCAAAAAGATACTGTGGGTGATTTGATTTGATTATTGCATTAATTCTGTTTAAATTGTTCATGGATGTGCGTGACTATTTTGAATTGTACATAGGCCTAATAACTTTTGGCTATAGAGTTTTGGGTTGGGCACAATGGAAGTAAATCTGAAAAAATTGCAAATACTGTATGTAATTTCTCATGGCAAATTAATTAAATTTTTCACATTTGTTTTTAGGTGTCATCAAGTGGTAAAGGAAATGTCCAGAATATTCTTGGAAAAAATAGTTAAGACCTATTGATGATTTGAAATTCCACCACGGATTTCAAGGTATTGGCTGTCACCGAAATGCTGTGCGTTGATTTCCGCAGAATTTATGTTTGATCTCAGTAACTGGATTGTGATTCACAATGCCACCCTCATCGGGAGAGCTATGGGGGGCTTATTTTATGCCCACCAAGATTCAGGTGCTCTGTCTTCTTCCATACGGAGTTGTAGTTCCACTGGAATGCAATCGAGAATCAACGCTGGAGAATATTAAGGCTCATTTATGGAAGGAAGCTCGGTTGTATCCGATGTCTAACAAGCTAAAGGATGCTTCTTCATACATATTTGTTAGTATTTTACAAGATGCCGAAAATGAGGAATTTTATGACGAAGGGAGGCGCCTTTGCGATTTGAAGCTCTTCCGGCTGTGGCTCAAACTTATTGAACCCAAAGGAAATAAAGAAGAAAAAATTCTCAATTCAGAAATTGGTAAGAAATAAAAATGATCACTCTTTGGAATTAATCATTGGGCACAGCTTTTTTATGAATTACTGTATAAAGTAAAAGTTTATATAAGAAACATAGTTCATCCCTCCTCAAAATTTTTGGAAAAGTAAACTGATCAACATCAGTGGCATATTTAGGAATTGTGGGTGTGGGAGTGCACTCCCCCAAAAAATACTTGTGCTCCCCCTTCACCCCCCCCCCAAAAAAAAATCACTTCAAGTAATTAGAAATCACTTTGAATCACCTTATTTTGCGAGCTGGTTCCCCCTCACCTAATCTTTGTGCCCTCGCTTCACCTTCTCCCTCTCCCCCCCCCCCCCATTAAGCTTGTTGGCTAGTCCTTTAGTCATACACATGCGTGCAATAGAAAAGAAAATAGGACATAAGAAAATTATTTAATTTAACTTTTAAAGTTGACGGTCGCCACTCGACGGGGTTCCATGAACGCAACAGCACGAGGCACGAGCAATGGATCAATTTCAGTGACAATCTGTTCAGGCTGCCACTGACAATCAGCAGATGGTGTCGTGTCGTCTAACGCTCACGTTCACAGGGAGCAGAGTTGGACTCTTCAGCTGACAGTCGTATGTCACAGCGAGTGTCCGGCTTAATTTTGATATTTAACTGATATTTTTTTTTCTGTGTAGGAAAAGCAGTTGGTTTGCCTGTAAGTGATCTTGACTCCATTAAGGATCCAGAGGTCGTTGACTTCCGACGAAACATACTACGAATGTGCATGGATGTTGTAGAGAAGCGCGCGGAAGATGGAGATGAGGCCCATATGTTGTATGTTTACCCTCCAAATGTGGAGGCTCATCCTGAACTGCCAAGACATATTGCCCATGGTTTGGAAAATGGTGAGTGCGAGCAGTTTAATCAGTAGAACAAAACAGGGACTCATTTTTTCATTTTTTGTCTTATTTGATTGTAAAGTGCTGTTTATTTTTGCAATGTGCTAATAAGTACTAGTATGATTAAATAAGTACAGATAATTGTTGTTTTATTTTTATTATTAATTATCATTGTTGTGTTAATTGTTTATTACCAGGTGTGTTTTAAGGATAGTGATTTACTCTGGCATAACATTATGTATATTCAAATGAAAACATAGGGTACGTTTCTATTAAAAATTGAGATAGAAACAGTTCTCATGTCAATGGTTAATATAATATCTGATTACCACTAAAACCTGTGCTGCATGAGAAATCATTTATTGCTGTTTGTTTATATGCACTCTTTCATAGGGCATTATATTACACAGCGAAGGTTCCTGAATCATACTGTAAGCAAAATTCAGGTATTCTCACAACAAAGAACAAATGTTCAGAGTATCTACTTCTTACAACAGGTACTTACTAGAGCATCTAATGGTCATTTTGTCTGAACATAATAAAAAAAAAAAAGTAATTTGAAATGCTGGAAAAGCATAAATATGGTCTATTTAAGAAAATATAATACAATTAGATAGTTGGTTGTTGCACAAGAAATATAAATTTTATTTTTCTATGGTTAGACTAAAGGTAAGACTGGTTCACTCCTAGAGAGGTACACTCTCTAAGGAGAGTTTCTACCCATATAAGACTTACTAAGCAAAACAGATACATAAAAGTTGTTAAATATTAGGCAAGACTTTTTTTACACCTTGTTTAGCGAACCCACCACCTGTCAATAATGATCATTTGGAATAGAAACAAAATTTAATTTTGGCCAATTAGTGCACCCGCTGCCACGAAAAATAGAAATTTCAGAAAAAAAAATTAAAAGTATTTCTTTATTTTTATTACACCCGCTGTTTGCTTGAAGTCATCGAATATAAGATATGTAGGCCTATATTTCTTTCTAATTTATATAAATTTAAAGCATTTAATAACCATCACATTACTTCACTGTTTACATTCAACCTTAACATTTTATTTTTATTTTCTCCTCTTTCTGGATGTTTTTGGCAACACCATTTGCTAAATAACAAAACAAAATTTTATTTTTCATTTTTTTTCCGCCCTTCAATGATCCTTAAAAAAAAAAAAGTTTGCGAAAGAAGGAGTCATGCCTTATCAACTGAAAATATCATTTGTTAAATTAAAAAATTAAATTAAAAACAAATAAAATCAAGTTAAAACAGAACAAATAAATACAATTACAACAAGGCATAGAAACAACCAAGTTAATTATGGGTGTTACTGTAGTCTTTCATTAATTTGGTTTTATGGGATGTGGCCTTAACTATATATGTTTTGCAATTGTAGTCAAATATTTTCGTGTACATTTTGGTAAATATCTTAAAGATTGTGTAGGAGTAAATGAATGTTTAAATTCAGAAAATGCACTGAGCAAGAAATATCATTAGGTTGGAAGCTGTTCTGACCTATGGTTTGTTTTCAAATCAGAAATCTTAATAAGAAGCACTTGATTTATTCCAACTCCCTGATTTATTCAGAGTGATCTGAGCTCTGGAGTTTCAGATTCCCTGCTGTGTTGGAGGTATAAGAATACAAACAAACCAATTACCTCAGCATGAAGACTTGGTAAATGTTAGATTTGGTATTTTGCATTTGATCTTCTGTGGATTTTTAAAATTCATCTTTTAACCAATGTTTGTTTACTGTGTAGTAGAAGAACTATTGTTAAGTGGACACATTTGGAACCAATCCATAGTTCTTTCTTAGTGGTCGGAAAATGTGTTCCCTCAATACTGTAGGGTGTTCCATAGGAAGGATTCTACTGTATTCATTATTTATAGCAAGAAGAAGCTCTAAATCGTGAAAGTACTTTTTTCATACCTTTGTTTTTGTTTGTCAGAGGACAGAGAATTTTTCTCAGTTAACAAAAGGTTTGCTAAAATTATACTTTCATTTTTAATCATTAATTATTGATGGAATAAAGATTTGCAAAACAAGTTATGTGTAAAAGCTTGATAATAACAAGCAGGGATAGCTTTCCTAAAAAAATCATACAAATAATTTCTTTCCCTTTCACCATAGATTGAGGAGTTCTAGTCCACTGTATCATAATGGTGAATTGTTAAAACTCTTTGTTAAAAAAAATGTTGGTTTTTTTAATCCAGCTTTTGTGCTCCAGTATTATAATGTTAATAACCAGATTCAATCACAAAATCCCTGCTTTTAACTAGTTGCGGTACAGTAGGCGATATCATAGTTCATTCATTATATTAGAACAAAGCCTTTCATTTCATAATTGCAGCCCTTATTTCTTTTGAACATTGCTATCTGTTGTTGCTAAGCCACTTACACAATAAACTGTAGAGTTGTAATTTATGGTCTTCATTTTTTCGGGTGATATTTTCCCTCTTTCTAATACAGTACGTAGCATTTTTCTTCAAAAATCACTTGTCTTGGCCTAATGTATGAGAAGGCTCTCTACATTCAAAACAAATTAATAAATCAATCAATTTTATGACAAAACCAGACACACGCTGTATTTATAACTTTGTACTATTACTGATACTATGCCAGCAATTTACAGGTTCAGAAAAGAGGATGAAAAATTACACTTTTTGTAGTATTAATTTTGTTTTATTGTGACATACTGTATCCATTCCTGGTTCAATAAAAACACTTAATTTCTCATATTACTTAATCATTAAATATATAGTACCATCATGTTAATATTATCCTAATGGTTGCTAATTGTTGGGTGTAAAATACATTATTTTGATGAAAAAAAAAATAAGATTAATAACTGTGATAATATTACGATTATAAATTCATTTGACATTTAGATTATACATGTCCATGAAGTGTTTGTAACTTTATATCATCACAAACTCAGAAATTGGATCATTATTTTTTATCAAAATATGTTGTTTTCTCTCGACAGGTGATAGATAATACCCCATGGTATCCAAACTAGCATTGTGAATGGAAAATTAATTAATAGCCTCAAAGAAAAAAACAGTCCTCTACCTTCAGTAGATCCAAACAATAACACACACAGATGCTGTTGTTTTCTTATCCTCTCAGTCCATGTTATTTTTAGATACATGTTTTTCTGGTTTGTGCATTGTGGAATGTGTTTTGCATCATCGGAATTGATTTCCTGTCCATGTCAAGATGTATGTTATCTATGTACTGACTGTTTCATTAGATTTATGAAGCGTTAAAAAAATAAAATAATTAATACTGTTGTTATTTTTATAGAAGAATTTCAAAAGTCAGCAAAATATATAGATGCATGTTTTTCTGGTTTGTGCAATTATGGAATGTGTTTTGCATCACAGGAATTGATTCCTTGTCCATGTCAAGATGTATGTTATCTATGTACTGACTGTTTCATTAGATTTATGAAGTGTTTAAAAAAATAAAATAATTAATTACTGTTGTTATTTTCATACAAGAATTTCAAAAGTCGGCAAAATATATAGACGCATGTTTTTCTTGTTTGTGCATTGTGGAATGTGTTTTGCATCATAGGAATTGATTTCCTGTCCGTGCCAAGATGTATGGTATCGAAGTCTGACTGTTTCAGTGGATTTATGAAGAGTTAAAAAAAAAAATAGAATAATTAATACTGTTATTTTCATTTAGAAGAATTTCAAAAGTCAGCAAAATATTCATTCTTTCAATCATTCGTTAATACACCTAATAATTCATTCATTTATTCATTCATTCTGCTATTTTTTCTCATTTTTTTTTATTCAATACTCAATATAATTTTATATTATTATTATTTCATATTATTCATCCATATCCATCCATCTATTTTTTATATTTGCATTCATTTGTCCATTTACCCATTTTTAATATTGTTTGTATCTGTTTGCTATATCATTCATCTGTCAATCTTGTATTCATTAACTCCCTCATCCATCCCTCCATCCATCAGATTCAAAGTCAGGGCAAATGGCCGAGGACAGTGTATACACAAACTCAACAACCAGGTGCTAAATTATGAGTTGGCTACTATCACAGTTCACTGCAACAGTAAACTTCTTATTTTGCATTTTGAATTAGCAACACACAGTATGTGCCATAGCACTCATGTATGACATTAATTATTCAAGATAAACTCATCATACCTGGCTATGAAAACATAATGTCAATTATTTACTAATTATTTATTTCCTTTCGCCTTAGGTTCATGTAAAGCGCATTGAGGCTTTGCATAATTTGCTATCAGAATTATTATATTATAATAGAACAGTGCATAGAAGCTTTTTTGTGCAATGTGCTATATAAGTGTAACATTTTATTATTATTATTATTATTATTATTATTATTATTATTATTATTATTATTATTATTGTTATTTTTTTTTTATTTTTTTTTTTTACTTTTATTTTTATTGTTGTTGTTGTTATTATTGTTATTATTATTATTATTATTATTATTATTATTATTATTATTATTATTATTATAATTGTTGTTGTTGTTGTTAATTGAGATCTTCACTTCCATCCGCTGCTCTCCTGTTTTGGTGTGAGAGCTGTTATAATATTGCACCATCTTTCAAATTGGACATTTAAGCTGTCTGTACATGCAGTATTAGCCCATGTGCATGTTAACACAGCATTTTCCTGAAAGATTAGTGAATTGTCTTCCAGCGTACTGCCGAATGTACCACCAAAACTTTTCTATTTGCCTCTTTATACAGTAATTACATTTGTTTTTATCTTTTTTTTTTAATTCTTTGTTTCACCTCACTAGCTAGTGTTGTTTTTGTCCAGGTTAGGAGGCACCTGATCTCAGAAAAGATCGAGACTTAACTGATGCTAAACCAGAGTAGGCCTACATAAACGCAGATTTCCGGTTAGCGGTGACGATGCAACCCCATACTTCATTTTGGGTGTTTTTTTTGTTTTTTTTTGCTTAATATTATTTTAAGCCTTTTTCGTTGTCCTCTTACCTATTGTTAAGTACCTAGTGACCTCGTTTATTTGCACTATGTAATCTATTATTATTCCATTGGAAATAAGTATTCACACCAAAAATACAAAACAAATACTTTATACGAAAATATCCAAAACATACAGTAGTGATTGATATTTTCCCCAGGTAATATAATAGTATGTGTATGGGTGCTATCAGCAACGGGCGATAAACAGAAATTTTCATTGAAGATCCAACACAACTCGCTACCAGAAGCCGTCATTGCAGAGACAATCCGTAAGAGGACGCGCACCATGAACATTTCGACCACACAGCAACACCAGTGTGTACAGCAGTACAAGAGTACCTATCTACTGAAGGTTTGTGGCAGTGATGAGTACTTAATTGCAAATTACCCGCTTTCACAGTATAAGGTGAGATTTTTTATCTCTTACTGTATGTGTCCTGTTTAAGTTCTTTACCAGAACTGAATTTTCTCAATTCTGCAATAATTCTTTGGTAAAATTACACATAATAAAATGTTCATGTTCAAGTAATTTTCATGCGAGATATTTCAGATTTAAGTCCACTATAAGTCTGACATTTCAAATGGAAATCCATGTATGTATGCCTTAAGCCATGTTGGCATTGGATTAATTTTTACTGTCTATTTCGTGAATACTTACCTGGATAACCGACTAATTGCCATTGTTCCCAAAACGGAACACCCCTTCGGAAAAAATGGAACAGACCGACAGAACATCACGATTGATTTGTGTAAAATGAAGGTAATTTTACTATAGTGAAGGTAATCATATCTGTGTAAACCATATCGTCAGTTGAACTTTGATTATTCAATAGTTTAAAACCATGGCTAAATATTATTCGCCTTTCTAATGGCCAATCAGTGTCGAACATAAAAAAAGTATAAATTTATAGTGCACAAATGAATTAGATTGGATTCCACTCTTTGAATTTTACTTTCTACTGAGGGAAAGCAATTCCCATTCTGTTGCAGTCAGTTCGCTTCTGTTAAACTAAATTATTGTTCAAATAAAAAAATATTTTTTGTTTCCTAAGTATACACGAAAATGTATGTTGGAAAAAAAGATACCACACCTTATGATCATGTCAAAGGAAAAAGTGCTGAGTAGTCTGCCAACAATCAACATACACATTCCTGCTTACATGAGGCGTGGTCCCGGCAGCACCGGAGCCAATCAGTGTAAGACTAAAAGTTTGTGGGAAGTGGAGGATGAATTTAAGATTAAGATAAACTGTGCAACGTACGTCAATGTCAAGGAGTTGGACAAGGTGAGGACCAAGAAACATCATATTATGTCGATAGCCATAATCATCATCCTCATCATTGTCAGATCATTATTAGCAAACCCATTATTCATACTATATTCTTTAGATCTTTGGTTGGCAACCCATAAGTTGCGACCCAAGTTTGGGTCGTGAGTGAATTTTTTAGGGTTCTCAGAATCTATCTGGGTCTAAAAATCAGTAGATTTTCGTGTAAATATTGAACAAAACATGTTTTTTTTTAAATCAAACAATTTGATGAAATGTTGGCTATTGTCTTCAATTTGTGTTAATGTAATCCCTGGGGATTTATTTCCCCCCCCCCCCCAGGTAGTTACCCTGGGGATTTACTATTTTCCCTCATTTTTATTGTGTATTATTCCTCCTAGTTTTCACACATATTGTTCTCTTGTTCATTATACATTTTTTGTGTTTTCTCTACACTATATCAATTAATTATTGTCTAGTTGTTGTAAGGTTACACTATAGAGGTGTGACGATGATACAAAAGCGTTATCCAATCAATAGACTAATTGACTCTTAATGTGTTCGCAATACTGTACTGATGAAGTCTATTAAAAAACACATTGTAGAAATGTTTTAAAAAGTTTAAATCCTGGTTTACATAAGAAATAGAGGAAACAAAACAGGATATTTTGCTCATTTTGGAATATTTCAATATCACACCTATTTCTTAGTCGTTCTATATATCCATATTTGTCAAAAAACTTCGACAAGGAGTGTCAATATTATTTCTGTACTTCTACAGTACTTTTGGGGTCAGTGCCCATTAGTGAACTCTCTTCTATGATTATTATGCCATCTTTTATTTTAAATTATCTGTTACGGTTTTTGGTAGCATAACATTCCTAAACCATAACATATTTAATTTGTTTAACTATCTCAGTATTAAAATTATGCTGACTTATGTTTTATAAAATATGCATTAATATTTATATTACTAAGGATTATTATACACCGAATGCAATTATTGTTTTAACATTCTCTTTATATTGTGACAACTAGGGTTTGAATAGAATATTGATATGTATTCTTTACTTAAAGGTACAGAATTTAATGTTTGCACTTACACTAATTGTTGTGTAGCACAACAAAAAGTAGAATTTAAAATCATCAAAAACATTATAACCAGGGGCGGATTCAGTAGGGGACACAAGAGCCACGTGTGCCCCCCACCCCTTCATTACTTAGATATTATCTTTGGCCCCTGAGCCCAACTCAAAAAAATATTTTGGCCCTTTAAAAAAATTAATTAAGAATCAAGGGCCTATACCAATGTTCACACCGAATTCAGGGAAGACAATTCTGGTTTAATATGAAGTTTATTGTTCAAAATGTGTCAAAATCATTTTTTTTTTTTTGTAGTTTTTTGTGATACAATAAAAAAATTAAGTGTCCCCTCAATAGGGGTTGAATATTTATTGACTTTATCATTTGGCGCACTTAGAAAGTGGGAAGTTAGTCACAAAATTATGCGTACTTACAAGTGACAGATTGCTTTAGATCATCGTCATCATCATCATAGTCGTCGCCACCACCGTCATCACTATCATTATTCTTGTCCTTGTTGTCACATATATTTGTCACTGTTCATCAATAATGTAATTTAAATGTTCTGATTTGTTTATCTAAAGTGTTTTTAATACTTTGTTTTAAATAATTTTCAGACATTTTAAGGTTTTAAAACTTTTTAATTTACTTTTTGAACACTTCTCTTGTTTTTACTTCTTTAAAATATTTTATACAGTTTTTCTTTTTTTTTCATTGTCTTTTGTACGTTTTTATTGTACCAATCTTTTCTTCCTTTTGTGAATTTTGGCATTGTACTGTATTTATATTTATTATTTTTTTCATAATCATCTGCCAAGCAATATAATTTTTAAATTTTTATATATAGACCAATAAAATTTCTTGAATATTGAATTATTTTTAATATAACTATCACCATCAAAATTATAAAAATAATTACAATAATCTGTTATTTCCTATAGATTTATGTACGTGCTGGCTTATACCATGGCCTGGAGCCCCTTTGTCCCAACCTTTGCACGGACCAAGTGCCATGCTCAAATCCTAAATGGAATCAACGTTTAGAATTTGATTTGTTCATCACTGACATTCCACGAAGTGCTAGACTGTGCGTGTCTATATGCTCCTTAGGGAAAAAGAAAGGACAAAAGAAAGAGGTATGGAAATTTTAGAATTTGATTTGATAGCAAATATTTAATTCTTAAACATATCAAATTGCTCATTTAAAAGAACTACATATTATTTTAATTAACTTTCAATAAGTCAACAAATCGAAAAGAAAATATAACAATGACACAACTATTTTACTTTTGATAATAAACCAGAGAAAAATTAAATTATTTTAAATTATTTCAAAATGTGTTCCTTCATTTTAAAGGGTGATTGTGCATTGGCCTGGGGAAACGTTAACGTGTTTGACTACATGAATCGGCTACAATCTGGCAACATGAGAATGTATTTATGGCCAGTTCCGCACGGAATGGATGACCTGTTGAATCCTTTGGGATCCATCGGATCCAACACAAATAAGGATGCTCCATGTCTGGAGATAGAATTTGAGAACTTTGGCTGCAATCTAGTGTACCCTATGTATCAACAGATCAATGATTTTGCAACATGGGTTGTGGAAAGTAATTCATCGTACTCGGACCATTACAGTGTAGGTTTATGGTTTCTCTTCATTGCCATCTGTTTTGTCTTGTTGTTTTGCTTCCAAATCCTTTATGCCTGATTCTTTTTATTAAATATATTGCCTGTATTGAGCTAAATATATACAGAACTAAATCAAATTTAAAATTTCAATTGCTTAATTTTTATATTAAGTATATTTTGTTAAAAAATTTGAAGAAAAATAATTACAAAATCAAGGATTGATTAATCCTCAAATTCAGGATGAAACCGGGATGAATGGCCTGAGGCAACCATTCAAAAGGCCAAACAGCCATATTTTAACTTCAACTATCTTTATTGACATCACAAAAATATAATATAGTAAAATGTAGAATACAATAAAATTACATCAACACAAAAATAAACATTAAACAAAATTGTTAAGTCTAAGGGCATCTGTTTATGAAAAAACCTGGTTGACGAATTGCACTAGTCGCCTAATACAATGTTAAATTCAGAACTTGTTAAATATTTTTTCTAGAGTTATTTTCAAGTGACAGGTAAAACCTGGTTGACGAATTGCACTAGTCACCTAATACAATGTTAAATTCAGAACTTGTTAAATATCTTTTTCTAGAGTTATTTTAAAGTGACAGTTTCCATTAAGCTCTTAAACCATATTACTATATAAATTTGTAATAAGAAATATATTATCATTCATAGAAGGAGTTTTTAAATTATCGAGTATCATGCAATCTTCTAAAATTTGCAGTATTCTTTAATATTATTTCATTTTAGTGTAGCACCTCTAAAGATAGAAGAGCTGAAGAATCGACAGCTATGCTACAGGAGATCATCCAGCGAGATCCCTTGCATGAAATGTCAGAGCAAGAGAAAGAGCTGGTATGGCAGTTAAGGTAAAGTTCATATAAGTATGTAATGGAGATAGTTAATAGTAATCATTTTTGGGACCATTATTTGTGATGGAATAGTGATATTATTGACAGTAAACCATGAAATATAGTAGTAACCATGTAATAGCAGTCTAGTGGTTATGGCGCCAGGCTGGTTATCTGGAGGTCGTGGGTTCGATTCCCACCCGTATCAATTGCAATTTTTTTTTCTCATGTATTTGGAGACGTACTGAATATTCAGTATATAACACATCAGGTAGGGTAGAACTTCACTCTCATTTAATAGTAGTTATTCATTAGTGATTAAGAACGACCCTGAATTGTGATATAACAGTGATAATAGAATATAAATCGATAAAAAATGTGTTTATGTAATAAAAATGTAGTCATTAATGGTCATGTAATAGTGACTTTTGAATATTTACCATGGTGATTATTGAATATTTGATGTATAGAATTGTAACAATTGAATTGTTAAAGAAATGTTTCCTATACAAACTGTAATTAGATGTGATTAAAAGAGATATTAGATTCTTGTTGAATGATTCTCATATTTATATTGTGATCATTTATTACTGTAGGTATGAGTGTAAAGTTCAAGACCCAAACTCCTTGCCAAAGCTGCTGTGTGCAGTCAAGTGGAGCAGTAGAGAATATGTTTCACAAGTACGTCTATTACCTAATATTTTATTTTGTTGTCATAAATTGTCAGCGTATTTCTCTCATCAGTTTCAGATTGAAACTACCTGCTGTCAATGATTGTTCACATTTGAATAATTTTGACAATGATAAAGGTAAATTTACCCAGGTCAGATTGCCCTGTTTGCACTTAAATATGTGGTAAGTTTTATCAAGCCAGAAACATTCTAGCCCCAAATAGAGTTCATTTACTTTTTATTCAGGGAAAATCAAATGATACAGATGAAAGACAAAATGGTACATATGTGAGTCGTATTACTATATAATCTATGACTATATATTTTGAAGCTCTGTTTATAACTTGTCTCCATTGCTTTTTATGCATTAGCTGTATGTCCTACTGAAAGACTGGCCAAGAAATATTAATGTCGAGACCGCCCTCTGTCTGTTGGATTGTACATACGCTGATGTTGGCGTTAGGCAGTTTGCTGTTGAGTGTCTTTCACATAGCCTTTCAAATGATGAGCTGCTTCAGTATTTATTGCAGTTAGTGCAGGTAGGTGCTACTATCTCCATCAAAAGTGATATATCAAGGAGTATTGACATGGGGGATGATGAGGGCAGCGTATGAAGGTTAAGTGGGGGAGGGGCTCAATAATTAAGTGAGGGGGTGTTACGGTACAGTAAATAGCACAATAGTGTGATATGACATAATTTTTCTGCTCAGCACATTTCCAGTGGAGGGGGAGGGGGGAGAGTTCCTGGGACCCCATTCCCACAGATATGCCACTAAATATAAACATTACAGTATCATTATCATGATGATTTTTAAAGGGTAGCTGGCTCATCTGCATTATAGCAATGTATTTTGCTAAAGCTACCCCTGTCCTGTATTCCAATTTTTTTCATAATGTATTTTATTGTTAATGTAAATGTTGGTCCAATAAATAAATGAAATGATGAAGAGGATAATAATGATGATGGTGTTAGTAGTGATGATCCTGATAGCATGAGGAAGATAAAAAATATTTATAATTTGAATACAAATGAGATAATTGAGATTTCATAAACATATTATATTCTTGATTTTCCATTTTAGGTGCTGAAATATGAAGCTTACCTTGATAACCCTCTTGCCCGCTACCTTCTGAAAAAGGCGCTTCAAAATCAACGGATTGGACATTTCCTATTCTGGCACTTACGGTAAATATTGCAGTTGACATCATCATATATTCAAATTTTCTATTGTAGATTATTTTTATTTTTAGAAAATTCTTACAGTAATTAGCAAAGTGGGGCTGTTTTAGTGTAAGATGCACTCAGAGAATAGACACTGATGCACCAAATCACTTTCCCTAATGTCTACAAAACTAAGCGCTATGTTCTAATATTGTGCCAGCATTTGCTGCATTTCAACGCTAGGTTCATCTTGTGTGAGCTAAATATATTATTACAGGTATCACCTTGAGTAGTGCAGCGCATAGTAGAAAGGCATTAAAATGCTTTTCATTGTTATCCTGATCATTGGATCAAATGCCTAAATCGATTCTCATCTTACTTCCTGTGGGATCATTCCATAATGGAATTTCCATATTAAATATAGTGAATTAAAAAATCATTATGAAGAACATCAAGTAATTATAACTAATATTACAAGGTGTTTATTTTTAAATTTGCCTATCCTCAAGGTTAGAGTTAGAGTGTTCCCTCACTAATCATCAGGATTGCATTATCCAAGATTTCCAAGTGCAAATTCTGTAATAATGCAGTGTATGGCACCCTCTTGCAAAAGTGATTACTTTTCAACTTTGACGTCAGAGATCGTTAACTAAAGATAGCGCATCTGCGTGCAAATTCTATAACAGCCGTGGTAACAACTATGATGCCCTCTCTCAAAAGTGATTACTTTTTATGTTTCTTTTTATTGAACATCGACGCTTCTATATTGTTAAGCATAGAATCGCGGAGAGTGCTATCTTGTGTTTATAAGATCTTTGATGAATAGGTGTTCTATCGGTTGCATAAAACTGCCATTTATATTAATAATATGTAATGATGGTGATTTACGATAACAGTATAATTTGTGTTTTATAGATCTGAAATGCATAAGCGTTCAGTTAGTCGTCGTTTTGGTCTGACATTGGAAGCCTATTGTCGTGCAATTGGCAAGTACCTACGGCTGCTTATTCGGCAAGTGGAAAGCGTTGACAAGTTGACAGTGCTGGCACAGTCACTTAGTGAGAAGAAGGATGATACCGCAAGGGTAAGTTGTCTTTGACATTTGACCTGAGAAAACTATTATTTTTTATATGAAAATTACTCTTCCGATGGCATTTGCATCAGGAGAAATAATATGAATGAAGTTTTGCCCTAACTGATGTGTTTTTGTACTGAATGCTTAGTATGTTCCCAAATACTTGCAAAAAAATATCTTGCAAGTAATTGTCAAACCCACAACCTCCAGATGAACATCAAAACCTCATTTGTATTTTATCTCCTGACACAAACGCCATCGAAATAGCATTGTAGTACCCACTGTTACTTGAGGATCGGATTCATCAATAAGCGCAAGTCCGTTAGTCTAGTGGTTAAGACACCAAGCTAGTTATCTGGATGTCTTGGGTTCGATCCCAATTCGAATCCCTTGCAAGATTTTTTTTGCAACTATTTGGGAAACTTACTGAGCATTCAGTATGAAAGTTTGCAGGTAGGGCAAAACATCATTTGTGAAATAGAAATGTGTAAAAAATTGATTAACTGTTTCTTTTATATTTCCATTTAGGATAGATTAAAATTCCTTACAGACCAGATGAGTCAGCCAGATTTTATTGAGAAGTTAGAACATTTTACTTTACCTCTCAACCCAAACCATTCCCTTGGCAAGCTAAGTGTAGAGGAGTGCAAGATATTGTCTTCAGCAAAGCGCCCTCTTTGGCTGGTTTGGAAAAACCGTGACCTAATGGCAGAGGTCATGTATACTGATATCAAGGTGCTTTTTAAGAAAGGAGATGGTAAGTGAAAACGGAACAATATGATGTCTGGTTTTTGTTTTAGTGTATAATTGAATACTTATTAAGTGTATATATTGAACATCGTAAGAATACAAAATAACTGATACAGTTCATGTACAGTACTTAGACTTGTAAACAACAATCTTCTCTAAACTTCTACAAACACTCGCAGTTCGCCTCCAATGCTCCATTTTGGGACCTGAAAATTTGGTGTGGTCTTGGGGTTTGGTCTCGACTTACAGGGTTAGCTTTGTGTGAAAAGATTGATGATTGTTTTTAGAGTGGTCTTGAATTGGAGGGGGCACTGTATATTAATATATTATTGTTTTGAACAATTGAGTAATTGATTATTGATAATTTGATTGTTTTTATATTGATTGATTGATTGATTGAATGAATGTGATTGTTTATTTATTGACTCATTTATTTATTTGTTAATTGATTGACTGTTTAATTATTTTTTATTGTTTTTTTTTTATGGATTAATTGATGATTATTTTTTATTGATTGCTTGATTATTCAGACTTGAAGCAAGACATGCTGACACTGCAGATGCTGCTGATAATGCACGGAATCTGGCAACGAGAAGGACTAGACCTCAAGTTAGTATCCAAAATTACCATCTTCATACATGTGAGGGGCTGTCGCAACGCTTGTGCTTTGGGCTGTCATCCTTGTGTTGGGGGTGGGGGGTGTTGAATGGTTTGAATCCTTGCTGTACATTTTCTTGGTCCTTGAACAAGGCAATTTATCTACATTGTCTCTCTCCACCCAAGAGCATAAGTGGATACCTTAGGGTTAGAATGCCAAAAGCGCAGATTAGCTGCTGCAGCGTTATGTTCCATAGATGTTAATGTGAAGTGCATAGAGGCATTAGAATGATGCGTTTCAACACCTAATTGATGGGTGTTGTACATGTTTGTCAGTTTTTTTAATATGTATATTATCATAGTTTTTACAGTATTTTGCATTGTTTCGTCCCATTAGGTTGATTCCCTATAATTGCCTCTCAACTGGTAATATGACTGGCATGATAGAGATTGTTCGCGATTCCAAGACAATTTATGATATTCAACACAAGAGCGGCTTCATGGGAACGCTGCAGTTAAAGAGTGGCGTTCTACATCAGTGGATCAAAGAAAGAAATAAAGATCAGTAAGTTAACATTTCTAAAGGATTTTGATGCCTGGCATTTCTAGACCAGAGTTTTAACAACATATAAGCAAAAGGCATAACCACAAAACAAACTAAAATGTGACAATTGCTGTCCTGGGGGACGCCAACAGTGAACCTAATCACATTGCGAGGGATATCCCTGCCAGCAGTGACATAATTACAAAAATTAATTAATTTTAAAAGGAGATTTAAACGATCAGTAAAATTATACAAGTTTGATTTGGCCACTTTACAAGTTGAAATTCCATTAAATTCCAATAATTTTACATACAGAAATTGTTTAAGTTGATGTGAAAAATTTCTCAAATTAATTACACACAGGTCTTGTATATCAGATGGAATTAAATCCCAGACCCAAACCAGTGCCTTTAAAATATTAAACCTAACTGAATTTTCTCTAAGTATTTCAACAAATCTAACAAATTATATGTCTTTCCATGACAATGAATAGAAAAACATTGAAAAACATAGGAACTGTTTCTTAATATTTTTTTCTTTTCAAGGTATGATGATGCTGTTGACCGCTTCACACGGTCGTGCGCAGGATATTGTGTGGCCACATTTATTCTTGGAATTGGTGATAGACACAATGATAACATCATGGTTACAGAAAACGGACAGGTGACCAATCTGTTATTATTCAATTAATGTCATTATACACATACATATACACCAATATTATTATTATTGATTGGTGAAGATTCATCTATCTTCTCTTTACTATAGTATACAATACAGCCACATTCTGAGGCTAACTTTAAGGCTAACAATTAGCGCTAGTTTAATAAACAAAATCATTGTTTTATTTCTTTTCCAGATTTTCCACATAGATTTTGGTCATTTTCTGGGTCATATTAAGAAGAAGTATGGCATAAAGCGAGAACGAGTGCCATTTGTTCTTACGGAAGATTTCTTGCGGGTCATAGTGAAAGGCCAGGATGTTAATATTCACAAAACTCAGTTTTTTAAAAAGTATGTCCTTTGCAGATTTTTCTTTACGACCAAAAACAAAACCCACTTCCTCATAAAGAGACAAAAACCAACGCAAAACAAATGTAATAATTCTTTAACGAATGGTGTCCTAAAAATATGTTTCGACGTTAATGTTTTTGGATGTTTTCTTGCAGTTTCCAACAATTATGCATCGATGCATATCGTGTAATCCGTTGTCACGCCAACCTGTTGATCAGCCTCTTCAGTATGATGCTGATGTCAGGAATTCCTGAACTGCAGTCCATCGATGACATCGCTTATCTCCGTCAAACGTTGGCAGTGGAGAAGACAGAGGATCAAGCGGTTCGGTACTTCTTAAAGCAATTAAATGATGCTCATGGCGGTGGATGGACCACCAAGGTTGATTGGTTCTTTCATGCTCTGAAGCACAGGTAGATGGATCTACATTTGGAATTAGGAGACCTACCTTCGCAGGTTTTCAGAGAATGGTTGTCTTGTAGTGGAGCAACAACCAATGGGAAATTGCTGAAAACCGGGAATTCCATACTTCTAAATCTTAGTGTATATTAAATGCAAAATAGTTTGTGCTTGGTGAACTAGTAATTTAACAAAACCTTAATTATGCAGTAGTAACACAGCAATTACCTATTAAGAAACGTATTACGACAAGATGCAAATAGTAATTATTACCCTGGTCGTCATCATCATCATCTGTTTTCTGCCTACTGGCAGGTTCACAGCAGTCAATTCTTCCAATATTTTCTATCATATGATTTATTTTTCATGATGGCACTGTAGCTTTCATTTGTTTTCTTCAGTCATGACCATGGTCATGGATACAGTATTCCGGCATTGTATGGAACTGCTCCCTGGGGAGTATTCCTAGTTGTGCAGCTTGTTTAATACCAGATGAATTCCATTCCAAATTATTATTAATAGGATTTATATACTGTAATACACATCCATTTGAGAAGAAGTTCTCAAAGTGGTTTTTTCCTCCTAGTCACTGGATACAGATTCAATGAAACACAATGTGCTACCTCCTCTGCTCCCCGGGCGAGTATTCCTAGCTATACGTGTACTTCAGCACTGCGAGGAACAAACATTTATTTCAAAATTTATCATTCCAAGGAAAATGATTTTTAAGGTTTCTATAATGTCATTGACACAAATAGTCAATACAGTAGGGTTTTTTTTTTCTTCAGTTTTTGTGTTCATGCATTCATAAAATGAAGTAATTGAAAATGATGTGAAAAGACTTGTTATCAGGGGTGATGCCAGGAACAACATGGGGCCTAGCCTCTCCCCCCTGCAATCAACATTTTTTGTTGACATGGTGTATAATGGACCTTTCCGGAGTGTCAATCAAAATTAACAACCGACCAATCAGAACAGGTGCCAGGAATACGCATGTGTCTAACAAACATGAGTTATCCTACAAACGCATGTTTTTGCATGTGTTTTAACAGTAGGGAGATTTTGATTTGCACGACGACGCAACGCTAAAATGGAATCACTAATGAGTGACCGTCCTACCAGGCGTCCTACATTGCCTGCTTACGTAGAGCCTGTTTTCCACTTGCGGATTTATTTGCGCAAGTCAAAAGCATCGGTTCTTGTGCATGCGCATTCACATTTCTATCTGAGTGTTTTGCTTCAGCGAAATCGGTAGTTTAAACTGTTTCTACCTTTTGCGAAGCAAAAAAAGTGAGCAACCATTCAGAGCTCAGGAACCGAACCGACGCCTTCGATTCGTGCGAATAAATTCACCTAGTGGAAAACAAGCTTAATTTGGCCACATTGCGTCTTAGAATTCACGCGACGAGGAGAACATAACATTCTCACATACGCAGACGACTTTTAGTAACGTCATTACATTCTACATCCTACTGTCGTCGTGCAATTGAAAACTCCTTGCTGTTTTTTTATGGGACCTTAGCAACAATATCCAAGGGGTGGGGCTTAGTGGAAAGGTCAATTATTCTGATGAATTTATTTAAATTTGATATTTTCCACAAATTTGTTGTGAAAGTTGACTTACTGCATATCATATATAAAGCCTTTTCCTATTGGCGTACTAATTGAAATCATATAACCAGTATAGTGAACTGCAATGGTACAAACGCTCCAGTGCTAGCCGTAAAAAATGATGATGTAAATTATTTAATCTTTTACTAATAGTGCAAGTATTCATGTACTTGTATTCCTTTAATTTTTATTTGAATAAATTGATTATTGATGGGGGCGCTCTATTCTAAAGGAGAGACTTTTAAAATGTTTAACATAAATCTTTTGTACTTTAGTCTTACATTCAAAGCCCCAGATTATTAGAGTAACAAAAAAAAAAACCCTTTTGTATAGGTTATTTCCATTTTCTATTTATAATCCTTTTTCATTTAGTTGATTTTAGTTACTTCACCTTGAGAAAATTTATGAAAGTATGAAGCTAAAATTGTTCATTTGATAATGTTATTAGGTGTTATGTTTACTATTTTATAATTATTTAATTTTGTTTAGTTTGATTGGGGGTGGGGGAGTATTAAAAATAAAGTAGTTTTACTTTATATTCCTTATCATATTTGTTGGAATTTTTGTTATTCTTGCATCCTGTTGATGTAAATTCTACCTCCATGATTAAAAATGTTGCTATGGTGATATTTAAATTAATTTAATATAATTGTGTATTGATTACTGTACATACATAAACCGTTGTAATACTGTATAACGTCTATTTACTGTAGTGAATAATAGTTGACTGGATAAACTGGATTTGGTTTAATGAAAGAGTGATTCCATTATTTTTAAGGGTTGATCCCACTTTATTGCACTGTGCATTTATATTTAGTTTATCAAGATAAGTATCTCACTCAGACTACCAGTATCACACAGATTTGTATATTTTGAATAGGTTTTCTAGTATTCTAATGCATGTTTTGTTCAAAGTTGGTCAATTTTATCGACATACAGTATACTTATTAGTAGCACACATGTTGTCTGCATTCCTTAGTAGTGTGTCTATAGTCACTAATTACAGTATGTGAATTTTCCGTGCTATTATTAGATCATTCCATTACCAGTATGTTTAGCGCATGTGTTGGTAGGTCTTTTGCGCAATCATTTTGTAGATAATTTTGTTTGTGCGTAAAGGTGCTAGCTGTTTTTATTTCTCAGTATTTTAAAAATGTATTGATGATTATTAATTTGTTTTTAATGAATTAAGGTCGAATAATGATAATGTGAAGAAGGGAAGACTGGACTTCTTATAAGAATTAAAACATTGTTTGAATTTTAAACTTATTTCTGGAATGAAATAAACACCATTTCCTCAGGAGTCTGTCTATTGTGTTTTTTTTTTGTTTTTTTGTTTTTTTTTTATTAATCAGCCAATCAAATACAGTGTTGCACCATTGAACAATTTAGGTCAGCATGATAGATAATTATGATATAAATTAAATTGTATATTACGTTTTTTCATTATTATTTTCGCTCTACTTATGCATCTGTTGTAGTGCCATGAGTGTTTGTGTCGGATACTGGCGCAATACTGTGTTTGTTTATTATTCTCCTGATGACGATTCTTCTGATGACAATTGAAGCAAGTCATTGGAAACATCGAGACTCGCCTGAACCAAAATTACTTTTCAGCACATTTGCGGTGTACTACAAGCATTTATTATTGTTAATTCTTAATTCAAACCTTCAAACAGTATTTTATTGTTACTGTATAAAGATGAACAAATTGACTAAGCATGGAATCATATTAATTGCATTATCATTAGGGGTACATGACCAAATTGAAAATAGTAATACAGTACGATGGTATTTGGAGTGATATACAGTGTGCATATTGATGCCTGTGAGAGGACCACCCAAGAAATCACATTACAATATTGTTTCATTTATATATTTGACTTTAATATAATAAACATGGTCAGGGGCAGCTGCATAAGCAAATATATTACTGTAACTCACTGTCCCCCTGGTAACTCAAAATAAAATCTATAAAAAAAATGAAAACATAATCACGGAGGCACTCACGACAGTTCGTTCGCATCATTACCAATTAGATAATTAATATAAAGGTACCGGTACAGAGGTATTATACAGTATAAATAAACTTACACAGTATAAATAAACTTACAGTATAAATAAACTGTTAAAAATAGTGGTCGATAGGTGGCGCTCTTGTGTGTTTCATTCATTTCACCTCTTCGCATGTTTACCTAGCACCAGCGTGTTTTAAATCCTTTCTGCCGATTAACGAAAAGGTTTTGTGAGTTTAATCAACTTAAAGCATAGTGTTGAGAATATTTTTCAAAATTAAGTTAGCTTGTATAAACTTACAAGATTTGAAAAAATATGCGTGAACTGACAGCCTAGGCTAGCCTAAAAATTGAAAGGCCCGCCTAAGGCATACCTAGGCTACGTACTAGGCCTAGAGGGGCTAGAGTAGGCCTCTAGCCTCTTAGGCTACTATAGTACTAGCCTAGGCCCAAACAAGCCAAGTCCAGACCTTTGGCCCCTTAGATTCTCTATAGGCTAGGCCTGCTGATTGATAAATTAATACTCCTTCATGCTTAGGCCACTAAAGATAGTTTTGGGCGCTAAAACTAAATAATGCACTTTTTAGTACTCCACCTTACCTATAACTTAACCACTCCAGTGTCGCTATGTTATTGTTAGGGTGGAGTACTAAAGTGCATTAGTGCCATAGTTTTGTGCTTCCCAACTTGGAGGATAAATAGAGTATAAAAAATACTATAAAGCCCCTTTCTTTAAGCTCCCTTTTGTTGGCTTGACTGGATACCACCGCCACTGACTGTACACAAAGGCCAGCACTCTTTCAGGCTAGGCCTAGGTCCTCCGAGACTTGAGTAGGAGGTACGGTACCATACGTGGTAATGATAAAGAAGGCTAAGGTTGGAAATTTGCTAGGAACACTTACCATTACCAAAATTTATTTTACATGGTACCATATTCCTAGCCACTGCCTTAATACAACTTTTAAACAGCTTCCTTTTGGTCCATGCCATGGCATTGCTGTGAAAGGTGTCTTCATCAAATATTATTTAATACTAATGGCTGATCTACTAAACCAGATCTTCCCCTCCAACATACTGAACACAAATTGACAATCCCTGGAGATCATTGCCTTCAATCTTTCAATTACCTACTTTTCCTTGCAGATTTTAAGATGGTATTGACACGGAGACAGAGAAAAAGTGGTATAAATGTATCACCAGCAGTGGTACCAGAAAAGAAAGACACAACAAAGAAAAATAAATTCAAAAAGAAAGATACATCACCAGCTAAGGCAACAACCACAAAAGAAACAGACAATTCAGGGGTTACTTTGCCTGTCAAACCTAGAATAAGTACAACTAAAAAGGACTCGAGAAAAGCTTCACCTAGGAAAGAGTTGCATGGAAAAGTGCAACCTGAGAATAAGACAGGGAAAAGAATGACTGGGAAAGATGACACATCTGATTGCAAAAACACCTCAAGTAGCCAAAAATCCAATTTAAAAAAACAAAATAAACCCCAAAAATATGAAGTTGAAGATGATGATGAACCTGCAGACATTAATATTTCAACAGAACTTTCAACTTCAAATTTTGACTTTTCAAAGTCATCAGATGAAATAGATGGAGATGAAGAAAGTGACAGTAACAATGAGGACATTGGTACCGACAATGCCAATGAACATGATGTGTCATCCAAACCAGAAGAAAGCAATTTTCTGATTTTAAGCCCTCGAGTCAAAGGTCAGGAACTCCTTGAAGAGTTATCTGATGATGAGGCTCCTGAATCGATGACCTTTGACACTGGGAGAGAAACAGCCCTTGAAACATTACATCAAGCTTTTAAAGAATCGATCAAGTGAGTTGAAAAGATTTTTCTGCTTATAAATGGTACAGTATTTTATATACTGTACAGTAAATGTATAGTTTTTGGAATTGTGCAATATGGTATCAAATGATGAGTCAGTGCTTACATTGTAAGTTTTAAAAAGCACTGGGAAAAGGTATCACAAACAATAATAAATTAATGAAATGATTATACTCTACTGTAAGTAATAATAATGTGTGTTGATATTGTAAAATATATATTCCTATTGCACATATTAGAATACAGCTCGCCCTTTAATTCGAGACCACCTTTGGGACCTGAAAATTTGGGGTGGTCTCAGGGTTGGGTTTCAATATAGAGGGTTAGCTTAGTGTTAGTAGATGGAAGATTGTAATTTCATTCTTTGGAAAAGTGATCTCGAATTAGAGGAGTCTCAGATTGGAGGGTGCACTGTATAACTGATAACAGAAATTTCATGGTCTGTATTGTAAACCTAATGTAAACCATGTTATTTTCCAGTTAAGATTTAGTTTTTAAATATTTTGTGTTGATTGTCTTGTTCATTTTGTTTTAACAGAGTTAAGTCAAAGAAGAAGGAGAAGAGACGAGCTCATGACACGATGATGAAAGAACAGGCAAAAAAGAAGATGAAGAGGTGTGAAGAACTTGACCGCAATCGACTGCCAGAAACAATAATCAAGTATGTTTCCATAGAAACTAATGACAGGTAATTTACATATTCATTTGTGGACCTTCCTTTCCCCTCCCAATTAATTCATTATAAATACATACTTGAAATATATACAAGGGAATGTTTAATCAATTTTAACCATGCTTTTCAAATAGAAACATGGCTTATTATGTATTTATTGTATAGAATATCACTTACTGTATTATATTTGGCAAGTGCCAAATTATAATTGTTAAATCAGAAATTAAATACAGTACTCTGTCTTAGATGAGAATGATTCTTGTTTAATCATTCAGACAAATTAAATTTACTATGTTGTTTCATCCAAGGCCTAAACATTGTGAGCAGGCGCTCAATGAAAGTGATGGAGAAGATGAAGATTTCCTTGATGATGATGAACGTGACGAACTATTTGGAAGTGAAGCAGACGATGATTATGTGAAAGAAAAACAGGGTTTCCAGATCGTTCCGCTACAGAAGTTTTCAAAAAGGCCAGTGGTGAAATCAATGGCAGCTTCTAACTTCCTCAAAGAACAGTTATATGGGAGTAGAGTTCCAAGAGTCTCAGGTGGGAAACGTTTAGTCATTGTAAACATCTCCATGATTGTCATCATTATCATTATCATCGTCATTACCATCATCATCATCAGGTCTAAAAAAAAAAATTGTTTGCCTCTAGCGCCCGCCCCTAGCTCACTGAAAAGTACAGTAAGTGCGGCGTTTTTCAGATTTTTTGTTCACAAATTTAAGAAAGTGATATTTATTTTTCTCCATTTGGCACATGAAAGTTGTCTAATTTGGTGTCTAATGTAAGGTATTGCCATACTAGGCCTAAATTCATTACAAAATATTGATTATGGGTTATTTTTATTGTCTGATAAATACCCTTTGAAAAACAAATGTTAATTTTGGTGACAGGAGAAGAAAAAAAAACATTTTTGCACCTGCCTCTCCTATACAATGTTCAGCATTAAAGGGCAAACAATTTTTGTTTAGGCCTCATCATCATTTCTTTAAAACAAAAAAAATCTTTATCTTTAGGATTGCATGAATTGACAATGTGGTTACACTATGATTTTATTGTTTATCTACAGCACCATCACACATGTCTATGTTACTGAAGAAATCAAGACAACCAGCTGTGAATTTCAAAGTGAAAGGTAAAGGAATCTTAAATTTATTACTGTACACAATATAACATTTCATTAGTTATTCAACCATAGGAAACTGTCCATTGGTTGTGCAAGTGAACAATAATTGGATGGCGATATTGGGTTTGAATCAGGGTCGGGAGAATACAGTACATCACTCTTTGCTCAAAACACCATGCTAATCATAGAATGTGAATCCTGATTATAAGTTTTATTTTGCTTCATTCCAATATAATTTCTTATTAATTGTTTAAATTGCTATATGACCATAATGTTAAGTAAAATGTTGACCCCCATCAGGAGTTGAACCCAAGACCTGACAACTACTTGCTTTACTAGCTGAACATTAGGGCTGCTGCTGGTCTGCCCACTTGAGTGCATTGCACATTGTCTCAATTATTTGCAAAGCACACAACTGACCAGTTACATTTTTTTTTTATTGTAGGTTTGCCAGTAACAAAGAAAGAAAGAAAACAAAAGAAAAATAACTGGGCGAACCTTATAAAATGAACACAACGAAGAGGGTTTAGTTAATAGCATGTGATTTCCATGCCTGCTATTCCAGGGTCCTGGATTCAACCCTATGAAATCCCATCATATTGAAGTAATTATAGGTAACATATGACTTCTGCTGCTGATTGTGTCTGTTTTATAATTTTGATTAAATAATTTTAAATAACCATCATTTACTACTAGGTAGAGGGTGTGCGTCCTGAAATCGATGTTTGTATTGCGCTCTGAAAGAAACAATGTAAGATGGCATTTAGAAATTATATCAAATTGTAAATTAGTTTGCGGCAAGCAAGTAAAAGATTTAAAACATGAATACTTTACTTCTCTGAACCTGACAATAGCTTACAGTGTTTGTTGAGAAGTTGTCAATACGTTTCTTTCTCCACTTTCGTTTCCAACGGGTTATCACAGCATTTTTGACCTGTTCATAGTATATTAAGACATAAATTTGTTACTTTTATGAAAATCAAGTATTAAAATATTACTGATAAATACATAATTTTATGAAGAAATAATTTGATAGATTATTGATAAAATTTCAAAATGAAAATATTGTTATTGTTGTTAATAAAAACAAAGTTACTTTTTCAAGAACCTTGTCAAATAATTTAAAGCCTTCATTATCGTGTCAATAATATCTGTCTCTTATACACATCTATGGTGATAACGACGAATATAAAGAAACTATGCAATTACTTGCTGATTATTTTGAACCCAAACTAAACGTTGTAGCGGAGAGGTACAAGTTTAGATGTCGATCCCATGAACCAGGTGAGACAGTTCAGGCGTTTGTTTTGGCTCTTAAACATTTAGCAAGTACGTGCCAGTTTGCTAATTTGCATGATGACATGATCCGTGATCAAATCGTAGAAAAAACAAACTCTACGAGAGTCAGGGAAAGATTATTAATGGAGAAGGAGCTAACCTTGACGAAAGCTATTCAGATTGCAGAGAGGGTCGAAGCAGCTGAGATGGAACGAAAAAACATGGAAGGGATAGCGGTAAAGGCCCCTGATGAACTCCATGCTGTCTGTCTCTTATACACATCTAGATGTGTATAAGAGACAGGTGCAACACTAACATCAAAAAGCCTACAATTCAGGTTCTTTACAGTACTTTAACGTAATGATGTCCAAAACAATTATCAGTGTCTAGTTTTGGTGTAATAATGTTCTGATGCTTATTAGTAATGGAGA